ATCTATCTATCTATCTGTCTGTGTGTCTGTCTGTCTGCCTGTCTGCCTGTCTGTCTGTCTATCTATTTATCTATATATCTATCTGTCTGTCTGTCTGTCTGTCTGCCTGTCTGTCTGTCTGTCTGTCTGTCTGTCTGTCTGTCTATCTATCTATCTATCTATCTATCTATCTGTCTGTCTGTCTGTCTGTCTGTCTGTCTGTCTGTCTGTCTGTCTGTCTGTCTATCTATCTAGACATTCCTATGCTTGAAGAACATCTATTAATTGTCTACCTGTGATTTATTTTGTGAGATTCATCCTGTTATTGACTTCCTCTCCAGATGAAAGGGTGCAGATTGATGGAGGGATGTGGACGGAGGAGCGTTTGATATCCGCAGACCAACCAGACAGACGACTGCAGGTAAACTCTGAGTGGATGGAAGTTGTAATAAAAGTGAACATGTGTTTATCACATACTGACACACTGAATTATCTCTTTCTCCAGTCTCCAGATGTATCACGGAGGAAACTACTTCAGATGCCGGGAACTGCACTTCCCTTCCCGCCCCTCAAGGTGGCGTTGATTAACCCGCTGCTGTAACACAGTCAAGAGAAAACAGCTCAGAAAATAAAAAGCACCGTTCACGACACACATTTAAAACAGCATTTATTAAGCTGCTGGTGTTTGATCTTAATTTAAGTAAAGTTTTCGAATGTATGCATTTCCAACATCCACACAGCCATCATCTACACCTTCCTTTTATTTATTTTTTTATTGTCAAAACAAGATTAATAGTTGTTTAATGTCTAATTATTTCACGACCAATAACCTTAGTTTCATATTGACAGTTATTATTTTTCACTTTTTAAGTCCCATTAGGATTATATTATATATGTAAACATAACACATAGAAAGCATCTCTAGTGTTTGTGGCCCCCAACACTAATATGTCTGCCCACCAGGTGTTGTCCAATAATATAACTGTCTCCGCCCACCAGGTGTTGTCCAATGGGGAGCCGTGCCTCCTGTTCCAGGCCAGGAAGCTGTCTCTGCGCTACGATAAGCAGAAGCAGCTGGACCTGACAGAGAGAACCTTTTCTCCTCAGAAACCTGTCGACACCAGCCAGTCTGTCTGCCGCCAGGATAAAGCCACGTACGTGCACCTGTCTGTCTGACCTGTCTGTGCACCTGTACCCCTCTTTTGTCAAATAAGACTGACACCGTCTGTCTGTCTGTCTGTCTGTCTGTCTTCACCAGGCTGGTGATGAGGTTTGGAGATGTGGAGGATTTGAGAGGTCTTTCCATCAGGTTAGTCTGCAGATCATGCACTAAAATATAACTTTATGATTTTAATCCAGTCAAATGTGTGATTAGATGTTATACGTCAGATCTAACTGTAAATGTGTTCATTTGCCCTGTTGAGTTTATTTATAATTTAACTACGTATATTTACTAGTTTTATAAGTACTGCAAGAACAATTCTGAGGTACTTGTACTTTATTTCACTACATTTATTTAACTGCTATAGTTACTAGCTACTTTGATTTCACATTAAAAAAAAAAACACATCATCAACTTAATAAATATGATGTCTTATTTATGTGACGTCAACATGTTATTATAATAATATAGTTGTAAATTGACCCACAACTAACAGGAGAGCCCCTGAAACTTTCATTTTTGTTGATTTTGGAGACCCCTGTGGACAAAAGTGGTAGTGTTTCCACCGCTTCGTTTCCTTGATTTCAAGGGGAATCCGACCAAATCCAACCCAGTCTCAGGCATTAACAATAACTATATAGAACCAGCCAATATTCTCGCTGATAAAGGCATCAGTATTAAACTGAGACTGTTTATATCCAGTTAAAAACTCCTTGCAACGGCACATAGTACCTTTGAAGCTATAAGGTCTGCAGTCATGCGGGTCAAGTTCAATGTAAAGTTTGGACTGACTGTCTCCTCTCGTCCCTCCGATGTCAGACTGCAGCTGTCCAACACTTTCTACGAGTCTTCAGGTCAGTGGTGGTTCTCGGTGGAAAGCGTCTCTCTGCTCTACAACACCTCTGAGGAGGCTGTGTTTAACGTCAGTGAAGTGTACGCTCCAACCTCCTCCTCCTACCACTGCCTCCATGTCAGCAGCCTGCAGCGCCACAGCGCCCTGCTGCTGCCCAGCACCGAGCACGCCCGCCTCTGGGCCGTGACCTTCACCAACTTCCAGGTACCTGTCTGGTTGACCCAACTGACTCAGTGTCTGATAATTTAATTGAATTTCACCTCCTAATTATTTTCAAAATGTCTCAGATTCAGGCCTTCAACGTCACCTCTGGTAAATTTTCTCCTGCGAGCGACTGCGCCACGTTTCTGACGCCGGCCATCCTGATGGGCCTCGTCACTTCCCTCATCCTGCTGCTGGTCCTGGCCTACGCCCTGCACATGGTCATCCACCTGAAACACATCGAGCATGACGACGAACACAAGGCCGACGTCTACTACCCTCATAACCCCGAACAGCCTGAACACTGCTGCGTGGAAAATGTTGCGGAGAAGAATTTTCTGTAGTGTAGCGAATAAGATAATTATAGACTTTTGACACAGAGACACAGCTGATTTGATGCTGAACAACATCTGGCACCAAACATCTGGTGTGACGATATACTTTCAGCTCAAGATTAGATTTTTAAAAATATATATTTCTAGTGTTTTTTTTTAAGTTGCTCATTAGTGAATTTCTGTATTTGTCTTTTTAAAAAAATTAATAAAAATATAAATAAAAACTTTAGTTTTGTTCTGTTTTCCTCTATATTTGTGGGCCTAGTGTTTGATTTTTTCCTATCAGTGAATCTTTCTATATTTGTTGTTACGGAGCAGAAGGCTGCGTCCTCTCTTTATCTAAGGCAGACGGTGATACTAGCTGTTAGCCACTTGGGTTACTAGGCCTCATCATGTGCACTCAAAGGAATTTAAATTTGGTTCAATGATTTAAATAAAACATTTGTGGCCACAGACTTCTATAGATGCAGCTGAATAAACAATCCTAAATAAATACAGACCAAAATTATAATGTTAAAATTGTCAACATTTATGAAATGTTATTTCTTCCTCTTTCTTTTCACAGTAACAGAGTTTATTGTTGGTCATTTTAATTTCATTCCACAATTTTCATTTCAAATTGTCCTTTTTCAAAAATCCTTTTGTTTAACTGGCTGTTACTTTATTCTAAATGAGCAGACAACCAATCACAAACTGGCTTTACTAGAAATAAATAAAAACAACCTATAATAAACCCTGCGACTGTAAGAAGAAGCAATATGAAACAATACCTAATAATATTTTGCTGAGCTGAAATGTATTGGATTAGTCAATATTTACATTATATATATCAGTAATTCCCAATGTTTCAAATTAACACATTTTGAGCATAAATGTTAAAGATGTTTTAAATGTTAAATGTTAAATTCATCCTACTAGGCTGTGGGTTTAGTTTCACATTATTATTTTAATATAATATAATATAATATGATATCATATAATATAATATAATATAATATAATATAATATATTATAATATGATATAATATAATATAATATAATATGATATAATATGATATAATATAATATAATATAATATGATATCATATAATATAATATAATAATATAATATGATATCATATAATAATATCATATCATATCATATCATAATATAATATGATATAATATAATATGATATGACATAATATGATATAATATAATATAATATGATAAAATATAATATAATATGATATCATATAATATAATATAATAATATATGATATCATATAATAATATCATATCATATCATATCATAATATAATATCATATAATATAATATGATATGACATAATATGATAAAATAAAATATAATATAATATAATATAATATAATATGATATAATATGATATAATATAATATAATATAATATAATATAATATAATATAATATGATATAATATAATATAATATAATATAATATAATATAATATGATATAATATGATATAATATAATATAATATAATATAATATGATATAATATGATATAATATGATATAATATAATATAATAAAATATAATATAATATAATTTAATATAATAAAATATAATATAATATAATATAATATAATATAATATGATATGATATAATATGATATAATATAATATAATATAATATGATATAATATGATATAATATAATATAATATAATCTGTAATCAACAGTTTGGGTCTCCCTGTATTAATATAAACTGGTGTAATGTTACTTATGTCCGGTGGGGGGCAGTGTTAGGTGTAGAGGTGTTCGAGCCGCCATGTTCCACAGCAGAAGAAGAAGACTCACGCTGTCCGGAGATAGCAGCACTACTGACATTTAATGTACCAACTAGAGTGACTTTATTAAACTACCGACATTCAAATCAAACACTTTGAGCTCCGGAGCCTTTGTGTTTGTTGAGTTATTAGCCAAACAGCTGATTGTAAAATTAAAACCCGCCATTTTACCGGGTTTTGTCCTCGGGTTAGCTTCACCCGGTTAGCATTACCAACAACCAGACCGGAAACGCTCCCGGTGTTCGTCCGCTGCTGTCAGACCTCCAGCCGCCCGGGGGCTTCATGTTCAACCACCTATCCGCTGCCCTCGCACTGCTCCCCCGCCGCCTCCTCTCCTCCTCCCCGAGGACTCTGCCCGGAGCCCGCCGCCGCCTCCTCCTCCTCCTCCTCCGCATGGAGCCGGCCGCGGTGCGCTGCCTCCCCGGGGAGCCCAAACTCACCATCTCCTTCCGTCTGGACGGGAGCCACAGACACATGCTGCGGGACCAGGACGAGCCGCTGGGCACGCTCCTCACCCGGATCTCGCACAACTTCGTGAAGGGCCGAGGAAAGGCAAAGAAGTGTAAGAAGAACAAGGGGCAGCCGCCGGTGGAGGCCCCGGAGCCCGCCGTGGTGAAGCTGTTCTACGACGGGGACGAGGTGGCCCACACGGTACCGAACTCGGAGGCGTGGCGGGACGGAGCGGTGCTGCAGGTCGGGGACGTTAAATACTCGGTGCAGAGGAATGCACCGGCTCTCATTACCGCCGAGCTCCCGGGGTCCCTGCTGGCCGGGTTCCCCGTGTGTCCCAGACTGGAGGTGGAGTTTGGGAACCTGCAAGACTGCGAGTTCATTTGGTTTAAAGAAGAAGCCTCAAACACAAACACAGACACGAGGTAGTTGCACTGAAGTACAGGAGGTGTTTGGTGGTTGTTTGTGCCTTTTTGTAATGTAATGCAAGTTCACTATATTTACCTTTTCTGTCAGGGGAGAGTTGGTTCAGTTCTGTGGTCAGGTGGGATGTTGTTGTCCTGGACTGAACTTATTATAATATATATATAATATAATCAGAAATCTGTTTGTTACAGTGGTTCTACTCACACAACGTTAAAGATTAGAAATTATACAATATATAGAATACAAATGAATGTATAGGTAAATATATAAATATAATAAGAGCCTATGTACAAAGTAAATGTAATATAAACATATTCCACAGTAAGTGTTAACAGTAATTAAATAGTAATGACTTTTAAGATCGTGGTGTTATAGATAATAATAACATAACAACCTTTTTCTTTAGTCTTTGTAAAAGAGCACGACTGATAAATCTGCCGAGTCGATACGTGACCCGATATTAGTTTATCACACACATATATAGATGTACAGGATGAACCAGTACACAGGTTGTAATTTCCTGTATTATATGTTATATGTTTCATGTACAGCCTCACTGTTGCATGGCTGAAACAACTGCTGTAAGATATTTGTTTCTCACTTGTACAATAGAACATTTAAATTTTAATTATCTCAGTGAATATTTAAATTTTTACAGTTTTTACAGTTTGCACATTAAAAAATCTTTACATCATGAAGCCTTCAGTACATATATAATGACATTAAAGTGTTTTTTTTTTAATCCTGACAGTAAAATGGTGATACCACCCAGCTGTAATATATCGGTATATACGTATGTTGGCTGATAAGTAACAAGAATTAAGTACATAAGACGTATATTACAGATATATTTGAGGTAATCTAGAAACAGAGGAGTCAGTTTGGCAAAGAGACAAAGTTTCTTTAGAGCTGTGAACTGAGCTGAATAAAGAAAACTGACACAAACAGCACAAATTCTTCTCCTTCTTGTTTCCAGTTCTGAAGCTACCGGAGAAGTTCCAGGTCAGGAGGTCGGTTGGACCGAGATAGGATGCGGTAGAGTCCACGTCCCGTCCAATCAGGACATCGGCTACAGGCTCAAACTGCGCTGCACGCCCAGAGACGGAGGACGCAGCGGCTCGCCCAAGGAGCTGGTCTCTGTGGGCGCCGTAGAGGCCGGACCGGGCGTGTGCACGTTCGACAACCGACACGCGTACACTGTCAAAGAGGCGGAGTGGCCGTCTGTGAGGGTGGTGTCCTACAACATCCTCGCTGATATCTACGCCCAGACCGAACTGTCCAAGAACGTGCTCTACCCGTACTGCGCCCCCTACGCCCTGCAGCTGGACTACAGACAGAACCTGATCAAGAAGGAGCTGGCCGGATACAACGCTGACATCGTCTGTCTGCAGGAGGTCGACAAAGGTTGTTACCGTGGAAACGACTTTTAATAACCAGTTCACAGTTAATGTTTATGTTAGAGCAGTAATTATGCATCACTTTATGCTTTGATATGATTTAAATAGATGAGTTTTATATTAATTCAGCTCCTGTTCTGTTGTCATGAACGGGGATTTTAGCTGAAAAGACCAAAATTGTTGTATCAGGCTGTAAACATGTTTATTATCTTATTATATTATTATATCTGCTGTAAAGTTGGGCATTTTAATATGGGGCCTTATGGAGATCCTTACATTTTATTTATATATAAAGTGCATTTTCATTGCAGGCGTTAGCTGATGCTTAAAAACTCTCCACTTTTATGTAAAGTAAAATCATCTGGAGGATATGTGAGTCGGCTTTCTGACCTTCTTTGTGTTCTCTGGACTTTTTAGTGGTGTTCACAGACAGTCTGACTCCAGCTCTGGATGCCTTCGGTCTGGACGGTGTTTTCAGGGTGAAAGAGAAGCAGCACGAAGGACTCGCCACTTACTACCGCAGGTAGAAGCTGCCAGCTGAATCTGAAGAAAATGTCTTCTGCCGGTCGACAAGCAATTTAGTTTATGTCATATTTAGTTGATATTATCTTCAGCAAGTGTCTAATTTAAAAATTACATCATGTTGCCTTTTAAGGTCAAAGTTTCAGCTGCTGAGCCGTCATGACATCATGCTGAGTGAGGCGTTGACCTCTGATCCCATCCATTCGGCGCTGCTGGAGAAGGTTTCTGCTAACAGCGCACTGAAGGACAAGATCCTGATGAGGTCCACTGCTCTGCAGGTACTGCTGCTCACCTGCTGCTCACCTGCTGCTCACCTGCTGCTCACCTGCTGCTCACCTGCTGCACTGAGGACGATTCAGAGGACGATTCTGACTTGTGGGGTTTTTGTGTTGTAGTCTTGAACCTCTAAGTGGCCCCTGGGAAACTGTTGGACATTTAACAGACTGATTCATCAAAAATAATAGACAGAATAATCAATAATGAAAGTAACTGTCAGTTGCAGCCACAGTGTTAAGACACTTGTCTTTCCGGACTCGTTTCTCTGCAGGTCAGTGTGCTGGAGGACCTGAATAAACCAGGCAGGAAGGTGTGTGTGGCCAACACTCACCTGTACTGGCACCCGAAAGGTAGAACCACTCGTTCATCTGTACGAACACCCGAGAAGAGAGCGATGATCTGTACCTTTAATCTGTGCTGGAACAAATGTCTAAAAACTGAATTAATTTCCTTTTGAAGGAGGGAACGTTCGCTTGGTCCAGATGGGCGTGGCTCTGAAACACCTGAGTCATGTGATCAACGAGGTCGCACCTGGAGCCCCTCTGGTCTTTTGTGGTGACTTCAACTCCACCCCGAACTCGGGTAACTCCACGCCTAAAGGCAAAGCAGGTAGCCCCAGTCTCACTGTTCACTCTCATTAACTGTATTTGTCTGCAGGTGTGTTCCAGCTGGTCAGCGAGGCTGTGGTTCCTCAGCAGCATCCAGACTGGAGCAGCTCGGGGCCGGAGGAGTCCTGCAGTATGGAGCTGCTCTCCACCTTCCCTCCGCTGCTGAGCGCCTGCAGCCAGCCGGCCTACACTAACTACGTGGGAGGATTTCACGGCTGCCTGGACTACATCTTCATACAGCCGGACAGCATGCAGGTACTAATACTGGTTATACAGGTCCTAATACTGGTCCTAATACTGGTTATACAGGTCCTAATACTGGTCCTAATACTGGTCCTAATACTGGTCCTAATGCTGGTCCTAATACTGGTCCTAATACTGGTCCTAATGCTGGTCCTAATACTGGTCCTAATACTGGTCCTAATACTGGTCCTAATACTGCTAATACTGGTCCTAATGCTGGTCCTAATACTGGTCCTAATACTGGTCCTAATACTGGTTATACAGGTCTTAATGCTGGTCCTAATACTGGTCCTAATGCTGCTAATACTGGTCCATATACTGATCCATATACTGGTCCTAATACTGGTCCATATACTGGTCCTAATACTGGTCCATATACTGGTCCATATACTGGTCCAAATACTGGTCCATATACTGGTCCAAATACTGGTCCATATAGTGGTCCTAATACTGGTCCATATACTGGTCCATATACTGGTCCAAATACTGGTCCATATACTGGTCCAAATACTGGTCCATATAGTGGTCCTAATACTGGTCCATATACTGGTCCATATACTGGTCCATATATGGTCCATATACTGGTCCTAATACTGGCACTAATACTGGTCCATATACTGGTCCTAATACTGGTCCATAATACTGGTCCATATACTGGTCCTAATACTGGTCCATATACTGGTCCTAATACTGGTCCTAATACTGGTCCATATACTGGTCCATATACTGGTCCAAATACTGGTCCATATACTGGTCCTAATACTGGTCCTAATACTGGTCCATATACTGGTCCATATACTGGTCCATATACTGGTCCATATACTGGTCCATAATACTGGTCCATAATAGTGGTCCATATAGTGGTCCATATAGTGGTCCAAATACTGGTCCATATACTGGTCCTAATACTGGTCCTAATACTGGTCCATATACTGGCCACTAATACTGGTCCAAATACTGGTCCATATACTGGTCCTAATACTGGTCCTAATACTGGTCCATATACTGGTCCATATACTGGTCCAAATACTGGTCCATATACTGGTCCATATACTGGTCCTAATACTGGTCCATATACTGGTCCATATACTGGTCCTAATACTGGTCCTAATACTGGTCCATATACTGGTCCATATACTGGTCCTAATACTGGTCCATATACTGGTCCATATACTGGTCCATATACTGGTGCTGCTACTCCAACTAGTGTAGATTAATGTGTCTTGTTGCACATCAAAACTGTTTTTTGTGTTCTTAATGCTAAACAAGAAGCTAACGTGTGTGTGTGTGTGTGTGTGTGTGTGTGTGTGTGTGTGTGTGTGTGTGTGTGTGTGTGTGTGTGTGTGTGTGTGTGTGTGTGTGTGTGTGTGTGTGTGTGTGTGCGCGCAGGTGGAGCAGATGATTCCTCTGCCGACCCACCAGGAGGTCACCACCTACGAGGCCCTTCCCAGCGTGGCTCACCCCTCGGACCACATCGCCCTGATCTGTGACCTACGCTGGGACCCCTAACCTCCGACCTTTGACCTCAAACCACCTATACAAGAGACACTGGAGAGCTGGGCCGTCGGTCGCTCCTGTAAATGCATTTTACAGGAGCGAAGTCTGAGCGTGGAGAAATAATCTCACACACTGTCTTAAAGTACAATATGAGATGTTGTGATTAAGTTCATATTGTATTATTAAAAGTACAACTATGTATAACTCATGAATTTTAATTACTGATATTCAGTGTTTGGGTTGGTACTTTAAAAAGTAATTGATTGCACATTGCCGTTAGTTTTCTTTAATGATTTTGGTTGCATTACTGTGTCTACTCTTCAATTATTGGCTCCAATAACTAATTGCATGGTTAATAAATAAATATTAACATTTTAAAAAGGTTTTTATTATTATGTTTTCTTTGGCCAAACAAGTTGCTCAGTGGTCTTTTAAGTTATTTAATAAAGTTTGAGTCTATGCATGAGTCACATTTATTTATTTATTTTCTCCAAAACAAGTAAACAAACAAAAGAAACAGAACATCACAGTCCCTGCCTGCCTCTGTTACACAATACGCAAAATAAACAAAAACAAATTACAAATTACGCAAAACTAAATATACTAAATAAAAAAGTAATAATATTTAAAACAAATAATTAGTCAAAATAATAATACTATGAAAATCAAGAAACACTCCTTACTTTTGATAAAACAACAACTAAATACTAACAACAAATAAATAGCTCCTACAGTCTCCATGGTTACAACAACGGATAAATAACGTCCGGTTGGTTTGGATCAATTTATTCTCTCTCGGGACAAAAATAAATAAATAAATATAATAAAATAATATTAAAAATAACAAAAGCCATATAACGTATTATGTTATGTGAGATATTTGGTTAAAAATATAATTATTTTAATTCTTCCAACAACACGTAAGGGCAGCGCGAGGACGAGCTGCAACGTCTCCATGGATACGGAATTACGTCATGAAAGCGGAAGTGCACCCTATGTAAATACAGCGGAAGGTGTGTGACGCGTTCACGTCACATCGCCACGCTGTTTTTCTCTGATTGGTCGGAAGTGTTAAAGAGGCGGGGCCGGAGTGTTTGGGACATACCATTGTGTTGTCTTGTTAAGGGGGGGGCATATAAAAGTTTGAGTGGAGGTTACCGAACAGGTGAGACCGCCGTGATGATTTGGCCTTTTTTTTCGGGCAATATAAATTATAATAAAAAAAGAATAAAACATAAATTACGATATTTTCTTGACATTATGAAGATTTGCGTTTACAGTTACTCCTCTGGTGGATCGTACCATCCCCGGGTCAGTGACAGCAGGGACAAACAGAGCGACAAGTTCGCTTTAGTGAGCCAGCAAGACCGGAAACTGGCTGAGTTCGCCTTTAAAATAAAAGCATTAAACAAATTCACTGTTTTCCTTGAAGGTTACGGTTCCAAAGCACTATTTAAATAAACTGGAACAACTCTGTAATTAAGTTTTGGTATGACATAGAAATTATAATAAAATAAAGGGTATCTTTTGGATTTGTTTTTGATGTATTGATATCATGGAGGTTTTCTTTTTTATGAAGCTTTTTCTGTAATTATAGAATTGTTATTATTATATTGCATAGAAGAGGTTGAATTTAGAAATATAGGCTTACTGTAGTAAGCCTTCCTTTGAATGTTTTTTAAATTACAGTTTTTTAAATATTTTACTTAAAAAAAAATGTATTCCAGCAAAATAGCACAGAAGATGTTTGGGGAGTTTATTTTGTTTCTTACTTGCTGTCTAGCTTTTGATGTTTCAATATGTTATTATTCTTATAAATCCCCCTCTTTTTGTTTCATTTATTCCATGAGGGCCTTTTCATCATCATTATTATTATTATTGTAGCTTTCTTCCAACCTTAAAATCAAGAAGACATTGCAACCATCCTATTAAGCTTAAGCGACCCCCAGATTGGGAAACACTGCCTCAAGAAAGGAACAAAATAATGGTGGAGTGAGTGTAGTATGCTTTTACTTTGAAACCGCCAACCGGATGCACCATGCGTCCCGTTGTCTAACTTCACTAATTCTCCGGACCGGAAACCAAACAAGGAATCTGATTTGAACGATCTTACGTGTCATTCCCAGTTTCAGGGAGTTTCAGTGGAACAGAAAACCTTCCGGAGACCTCAGGTCACCGATCCTCCGTAAGTTCTCCCCCTCTTTATCCACCCAGACTGTGGACATTAACGGCAGGATGCTATCCGCTAACTGCTACTAAAGTTAAATCATCAGCAGGTTAGCCAGGCTAGGCTAACACGAGTTAGCTGCAGTCAGTGTGAGTTAATGTGTGTCAGAGTTTACAGTCTTATTTATTTATCTCTGGGCTCATTGTTTACAGTCTTATTTATTTATCTCTGGGCTCATTGTTTACAGACTTAAAGTGTGTGTATGCTGTTTAACGGTAGAGGAAGCTCTGTGTTAGCTTCTGTCTGCCCTCTGTATAATGCTGCTGTTGTGTTGACTATATATTTATATTTATATATATATATATATATATGAAGTTAAATGAGACCCTGACTCTTTGAGTGCAGCCTTTACTTCCTTAAAGAATGAATGAAGTCTTGTGATCTGAGTCTTCATCAGTAGGGACTCTGGTTCTGTCTCTCAGGGGATCAGCTGTTTTTAAAAAGTGTTTTTAATTCAACTAAATTGTTTTCTGGGCTTTTCAGAAGGAGAGAGAAAAATAAAAACCCCTTTACAACCTCAGCTCTTTCTGACACCGGTGTCTCAGTACAATGAATATCAGGTTTGACAAGTTTTACAACGTGCTGGGTCACAAAGATGCAAATCAGGGCTGCATCTTAAGATACAAACAAACACAAAAAAAAAGCAGAATATTTCAGATAAGATAAAATCAGATGTTCTTTTATTGATCCCCCGTAGGAGAAATTAAAATTTGGCACAGCAGCAGAGAGGAAATGTAGAGCAAAGAGCAGAAAAAGGGTAAAAATACAATAAAATCTAAAAACAATCTATAATAAAGTGGACTGTGGTCCAGATGGATAAGTGTACATGTGCAGTGTTACAAGATATATAAAACATTATATCGTATATGATATTGCGATATGATTCACTATTAGTGGGAATGATCATTTTTGTGTCCCAATTTTCACAGAAATGTTAATTTTAACTGAAAATAACAACAATTAAAAGATGATCATTATGATTATGTGACATTTGTTGGAGGGTTTGTAGTAAATAAACATGTTTTCTTACATCTGGAGAACAAGATTTTGTAGGCCAGGAAATCTCTGCGGCACTACAGTCCTTCATTATAACGCTGTTTGTCACATATTTTACCTTTTTATCAAAAAAACAGAAACATTTATATCCGTTATTTCCTTATTCAGAGAAAGATAGCTGGAAATGATTCTTGCTCTTTTTGTAAAACACAAATAAAATAATAATGTTTTATTTTGTATGAAAATATGAGCTATTATAAAGAAAGATCAATATATACCAATACCAATATAACTCATAATAAGGCTGATAGTAAAACACTTTTGTCTTGCAGATTGTAATTAATATTTAAGTTTATTGGAAACTGACTTGAAGAGAAACCAGCATCGACCTCCATCCGTCACTGTGTCTCTCTCCTGTTTCAGGCTGGTTGCCGCCTCAACATTGATGAGCTGTGGTCACCCCGGTAACGGTTGCTAACGGCAGAAGCATGAAGGCTTTGATTCTGGTGGGGGGGTACGGGACCCGGCTGCGACCGCTCACCCTGAGCGTCCCCAAACCGCTGGTGGACTTCTGCAACAAACCCATCCTGCTGCACCAGGTGGAGGCGCTGGTCAAGGTACGGAGGAGGCGGAGGTTTTAAAATCCAACACACACACTTTAACTGTACAGCTGACGTTCTGTGTGTGTGTGTGTGTGTGTGTGTGTGTGTGTGTGTGTGCTCAGGCTGGGGTGGACCATGTGGTTCTGGCTGTGAGCTACATGTCGGAGCTGCTGGAGAGAGAGATGAGGATCCAGGAGCAGAGGGTACGTACAACAGACTGACGCCACACTGACACTCTGAATGTTTTAATAGCACCAGAACAGCGAGTCAGTCCATTCCTGAAGGATCAATTCACACAGATTTGTCCTCTTACCCACGGTGGTTTCAAGTCCTGCAGGTTGTTTTTGTTCTCTGTTCTCTGAGGCAGAGGTCAAATCGGCACATTACGAGAGCGGTGGTTAGGATTTAATTTGTCTCTCAAAGCATCAAATAACATTACAGTTCTAAAATTCGACATTTCTTTCCGGTGTGAACAGTTTTCTGTCGCTCTAAATGCTTTATTGTCGGCATTCTCTCAGTTGTCAGACATCAGCTATTAATCCATGCTTTTATTTAGATTACATCACCTTAAAATGATCTAATCCCCCTCCCTCGCTTTTATTTTGAAGGCCAGAAATCTGCAGTGTATCCACATTTCGACTGAACGGTGCAGCTCGATGCTTCTCACTATTTTTAGGATTAATATCTGATACCTGGTGCTTTTTGTTTTGGTACCACCTCAGTCGAGGTCCCAGTTAAGTTGAGCTGATACTAAAAGGTGACATTAAATCACTGCAGACCATTAGTGGAGGTACAGAAAGGGAGTAGAAATACAACATTTTACTCAGTTTTACCTTTTTGATATAAAATATTTTCCATTAAAATCTGGAGGGGTATTTTTAATAACAACATTTATTTATTTAAAGTCAGATTCTGGCACAATATGCAGTCTGCTGCTGCAAAAATTCATCTATTAATAGATTAATGTTGATCAAGTTATTATCAATAATTCCCTGGTTGCAGCTTCTATTTTAGGATTTGTTGTTGTTTTTTGTTTTATATGGTTGTAAACTGAATATCTTTGTGTTTTGGACGCGTTTTATCAACAAATAATCATCAGATTGATCATTAGTTGCAGCCTTTAAACACTTTTTATACTTATATACATTTGAAAAGGGAATCTGACAAAGACGAAAGCTTTCAGCTGAATCGTGTTGGTGTCAGTATAAAGGCTCTTTATTGTCTTCCTGGCAGTTCAGCTGTTTAAGATTTTTTATCCACTCTGATGTTTATTCTTCAGTCTGCAGTGTTTCTGAATGTTTCGCTGTTTTCTCCTCAGCTCGGGATCCATATCTCCCTGTCTCATGAGAAAGAGCCTCTGGGAACAGGTGAGTTTCTCTTCACTACAGACAAATCCAGACAGACAGGAAAAGTTTGTTTTAATTGAAATGGTGAGAGCCTGGCAAACCACAATGTAACAGCTATTATCTCATACATTGTGTACCTGACAGTATTTTATCACATATTGTATTTCCATTATTGTTCCTGCTCACTGATTTCCCACATTGTTGATAAATTTAATACAACCAGAGATGCTAAAAAGAAACCACATCATAAACAATAAAGGAAGTAGGTCAGAGTTCCTACTGTCTGACAGTCTTTTCACTCTACGTATCATCATATCACCCAACTCTAATACAGTATACAGTTTGAATTATTGCATCTTCAACATCAATATTAGCTACAAGACAATTATCTTTTGTCTGTATTTATGTGAAGGAGGTTTCTGTACATCCAGTCACTGATGGAGGATTTATGGGGATGGGATAGTTTTGCATTATTTGGCTCCTTAGAAACACGTAAAAGCTAAATAAAAGAGGCCCAAGGATCGACCCTTGGGGAACTCCACAAGAATATTAATGCGGTCAGCCACTGATGTTGTTGGGTGATAAGGTCTGGCTCACAGTCGGCCTTCCAGCTCATCCCAAATGTGTCGGATGGGTTTAAAGTCAGGGCAGTTCATTATAGATATAATCAGTGTTCCCATGCATCCTGGAATAGCTGGAAATTCATGAAAACACCTGAAAATTGATCCTAGGAGTGTATTTTGCTTGAAACTCGACTGTTGGTCAGTGATCTTTTTGTGGCTGTGGTTGATAAATACATGCACAGTAATGTTAATTGTACGTGTGAAGAAAACTTTAACTTTCTAGAAGAGGAATTTACTGTAAAATAAAATAAATTCTACTTGATTTGAACTGTTTTTTTATGGACTGTGGCCAAATTAATGTAGTCAATTTCATTTTTAGTAGTTTAGTAGTAGTTATTAGTTTATTTGACCGTTTGTAAGCGAGTGGTGTCCTGTATTGTCAAGAAAAACTCCTGGAAAGGGATTTGTTAAAAAGAGTGGGAACCCTGATAACTTTATGCTGTAGCATTAATTTTTCCCTTCAAGGAGACTAAAGGGCCCAAACTAAGGTACACAGTGCTGTCCACATACTTTGACCATATAGTGTAGTGTTTGACCGGAAACAGGAGTTGAACACCTTTAGGCTTCTGAGATTTAGTTATATTGTAGATCCGTTAGAAGTGTGGCTGAAAACTTGTTATAATTAATACAAATGAGGTAAATAATGAGAAATGAATGTGTCTGTTTGGCTTCAGCGGGGCCGCTGGCTTTGGCTCGAGAGCTGCTGAACGTCGACAACGAGCCGTTCTTCGTCCTCAACTCGGACGTCATCTGTGATTTTCCCTTCAAAGACCTGCTGCAGTTCCACCGCAACCACGGCAAGGAGGGAACCATCGTGGTGAGAGAGACAGACGATACAAAGTGTTTTATAAAAGAGTGAATCTGTACAGGTCGAGGCCCGAAGGTTGTACAGTCAGATTCAGTTATTTTAGAGGAAAGCTTGACAAGTGTTGGGGGTTAAATCTTTTATTGTCAGTCCAAAACTATGAGATACGAAAGATTCAGAGTGTTGGAGACCAAAGACAATGAAGGATAATTTTATACAGACTGTTAAATCCAATTAAAAAGGACAATGGATAATTATTAAGGCCATAATAGTTTTAAAGTTTTAAGAAGAAAACGCAGTTAGGCTAAACTTAAACTCCTGAAATGGAAAATATAAAAAGTTAAATGTATATGTGTCCTTATGTCAGTATCTAGTCCGTAGTTCCCTCCATATTTCAAATTTTGAAGCACAATCTTGATTTGACTCAAATTATCATTATAGAACTGTGTGATACTTCTTATTTATTAGTTTTTTTGTAGCAAATTTCAAGTGTTTGGATGTAATATTCAAGTGTGTGTGTGTGTGTGTGTGTGTGTGTGTGTGTGTGTGTGTGTGTGTGTGTGTGTGTGTGTGTGTGTGTGTGTGTGTGTGTGGAAGGTAACACGGGTGGAGGAGCCCTCTAAGTACGGTGTGGTGGTGTTCGAGACCGACAGCGGCAGGATACATCGCTTCGTCGAGAAACCTCAGGTCTTTGTGTCCAATAAGATCAACGCTGGCATTTACATCTTCAATCCCAGCATGCTCAGCAGGATCCAGGTGACTCACACACACAAATATGTCTATATATTGATACACATATTGATACGTAGTCCTGGTATTTAATCATATGTTTGTCACTTGTGTGTTTGTGCAGCTGAGACCGACATCCATAGAGAAAGAGATATTTCCCGTCATGGCAGAAGAGGGGCAGCTGTACGCCATGGAGCTACAGGGTAACTATTACTACTATTTATGGTTGCATGTAACAAACATTTTACGTTATTGTTCATATTAACTGAAGAATTGTCTCGTGTAGAAAAAAGTTCACAATTCAGAATCAAGCAGAGAAAAACATCAGCTGAAAACAAAGAGTTGATATTTTTAGAGGATAAATGACTGAAACCATCAATTGATTATCAGAACTGTTGACAAATATTTCTGTGTCAATTGTTTAAGAACTAATTTTGTCCATGTAAGAGGATTATTTTAGTTTACTACAAATAGCAGAGGGACACTATTAGAAAGAAGTCAGACAGGTTGTAAACAAACAAACACTTTATCCAGTTTATCTAAATTAGTGGTTCTCAACCTGGGGTCCAGGGACCTACAGGAGGCCTTGAGGGGATTCTAGGAGATCCCAAGAAAAATGGGTAATATTTTAATGTGACTGTTATAAAGGGGAGGGTAAATCTCTCATTGTTGGTCAGGTACTGTCAATTTTAAGTTAGTTTGAGATTAATAATTCACAGGTAAATTCTTACGTTTTAGAATCTGTGTAAGAAAGGTTCTAGTAAGAACATGGTATAAATAATGCCTCCTGATCAAGAAATAGTTGTTTTTACAAATTAAACAAACAAGACATGTTCAGGGGTTTAAACAGCTTTGGACAGAGTCAGGCTGTTTTCACTCTTACTGGTTAAGTTTTATCAATCTCCTCATCTAACTTTGTCACCGTGTTCCCAGTGATGAATTTCATTTCTGTGAGCAACTCAGTGGTAATATGATTGTGGAATATGTGAAGTTGACCTGTGTCCTCGTTCTGGTCTCACAGCTCACAGCTCTACCAGACGTAAGTGTTTGGGGGTTTTTCTTCACACCCGGACTCATGTAGTTCTGGAGAGGAATCGTTTGTAGAGAAGCACCGATGCCAACAAAACACATCTGAACAAGACTGTTTCCAGATATTTTTAATGAGTCTTCATCCACAGACAGTCTGAACTCTGTAGTGTTCAGATGAAAATAATAGATCAGAACCAGCTGTGATCCAAATCTGGAATCGGTGCATCTCTAGATCCTCATCCCTCTCTGGGAGCGATCCGCTTTCACTGAAGCATCTAGCTGAGCAGTTACACCTTCCCTCCCATCCTGTAGTCCAAGCAGGCGGACTGGTACGAGTCACTGACTCTGGTCCAGGTCGTAGTGGCTTTATTTCGCCCATTTGTTTTTTTACTACTGCTATTAGAAAGGACAACTTGAAGGGACGTTGCAGTAATATTGTCAGTATATAAACACCAAAGCAGTCAGGATACTCAATGCAGTTGTGAGCAGGAAACCAGATACAAATATTCTCAGTAAGGTAAAATATAATAGAGGGAATTTAAAAAAACACCGGTATGGTCCTTTTGAAGAGGGAGACAATCAGTGGAGTCAGTGTCCTCGTCCTTCAGCACCTCACCTGTTGCAGATCACAAGGAAACAGGAAGGAAACACTGGTTTTGTGTCCGAGTTTCCAGGGTAACGAACTGCTCTAACTGTCTGTCTGTCTGTCTGTCTGTCTGTCTGTCTGTCTGTCTGCAGGTTTCTGGATGGACATCGGTCAGCCTAAAGACTTCCTGACAGGGATGTGTATGTACCTTCAGTCGGTACGACAACACGCTCCTGAGAGGCTACGCACGGGGCCCGGTTTCCTAGGCAACGTTGTCGTGGTGAGTTCAGCTCATTGGGGCTAGATGTCAAATATAAAGCCGAGGTTCCCACACTTTTTCATGTCAAGAACCCCCACAATAGATACACAGTCCCCCAGTTTGAGAGGATTTTGTCATAAGTATTTTTTTATTATTATTTTTGGTTTAAAAATGATAAAAGTCTTTATAGTCAATCAATGATCAAACTAGTGTCACTGTTACTTCCAAAAAGTGATAAAAGTTCAAATATTCTATTACTCAGTAGTTAAAACCCACTCATCGACCCCTGTTGGTCCCCCAGTTGAAAGAACCCGTACTCAGTGATAATCTTACATTGCTCGCGTTCCTCTGCAGGACCCGACAGCGCAGATTGGGGAGAACTGCACCATCGGCCCAAATGTCACCATCGGTGCCGGCGTGGTTGTGGAGGACGGGGTGAGGATAAAACGCTGCACGGTGATGAAGGGAGCGCGGGTTCGATCGCACTCCTGGCTGGAGAGCTGCATCGTGGGGTGGAGCTCCTCTGTTGGCCAGTGGGTAAGTGAGAGGCCACTGTTTTTGTTGAAGGAGTCTGGTGGCTTTGAAAAGAGATAAAATCTTTAGTTTCCTGTCTGACGGCGAAAGTCAAGTGGCAGATATTATAAATATAGCATCAACTCTGCTTTAGATTTTAGGTGGCTATTATATGTTCAGTGCAATGCGTAGCCTCCGTGCTCATACTCCTGTCTTCTTCTCCAAACTGAATTGAATATGTAGATTCTTGTTAAGTGTAATGACGACTTGTCTCTGGGTCAATCTGTGTCTGTTCAGGTTCGTATGGAGAATGTGACGGTGTTGGGGGAGGACGTGATCGTGAACGACGAGCTTTACCTGAACGGCGCCAACGTCCTGCCTCACAAATCCATCAACGAGTCGGTCCCAGAGCCACGTATCATCATGTAGCACCGAGGGTGGAGGAGAGAAAAAAAAGCCCAGCGCCTTTTTATACAAACTCGACTGAACACCCAAACTGTGCCAGAAAGAGAGGGAACGAAAGGAAGCGTGGAGGCAAAGAGGAGGAGAGAAAAAGGAACAACAGAAGGATTTTCTTTCTCTTTTTATTAATTAATTTGGACTCGTTTTTTAGCCCTACTTGGCTGCACCGTCCATCAATCAGATCTAACAAAAAGCAGCCTGGCCCGTCAGGAAGGTTTATACTTGTTAAACTTCTGTCAGAGCTGCAGAAAAAACATCCAACACTAATGTGGCGGATGGTAAAAGTCACTACTTTAATAGAGAAAGGGCAGAGGGAGGGGGTTGATATACCGGGGCTGGTTGTCTGTCAGATGGTGGAGGGACTAATGTGAAGTGTATTTGGGGGGGAAGCGGGGTTTAAAGAGTTGATATGAACACTGCTGTTTAGACTCACTATGCATTTACATTGCCTGGACAGCCACAGAGTGTCAGTGAACAGGCACTGAGGGATCATACTACATCATGTTTGCTGTAGCAGAGACTGGAATCATGACTGATAACGCTGAGATTTAGGATCTCACCTATTAAATAAAATGCAGTATTGGTTATAGTATAAATCCGGATTAGTAGGTGAGTTTTTGGCCTCTTGCAGGCAGCAGAACACAAACACATTAACACATTATCACCTTTATAGCGCTGTTATAAGCAAAGAGTTGCTTGTTTACACATCAGAGGAACAATGTCATCCAGTTGGAGTCATGTTTGTGACCACCTGATGAATGTAATTTGACCCATTTTTATATCAGAATATTGATTAGTGGAGCTTTAATCTGTTGTAGAGTAGGTGTCGAGTGTGTCTTTTTGCCTTGGTAAACTTCTGTTCTGTTTTTGTTGTTTCATTTTATCATGAAAGCTTCAATGCCAAACTAGTTTGTGTAAAAAGTGAACAAAATGTAGCTTTTTATAACAAACTGCAGTTTATTTAGTCAGTTTACAGATATTTGAGTCAGACTGAATCTGGGATATTCTACTGGAGTAATGCATTGTTTCAACATGTCTTTCATTCATGATTATGTGTTTCTTAAAGAGTACCTGAACAACCTGTGAATATCTGTGTGATGTACACGTGTACTCCAGGACACTCTGACATCACTGTTGGGTGTAGTTACAGGTGCAACAGAAGTGAAACAGGCTTTAATCTTTTAACCAGCAGTGAAGAACTCTTTAAAGAGAGTTTGAAGAGAAAAGGTGAATTCAGTAGTCTGATTCATTCTGATCTGATTGTCCAAGAGAAGCTTTGATGAATCCTGTTTGGGTTTTTCTCTAGTGGGGCTAAGCTGTAAAGGGTTGGTGCTAAAGTTAAGGTCATCTTCTCTAAATCTTCTGTACGGTGGCCATTTTAGCTCGGCCCTACATTGTCAGGATCAGCTCAGCTTTCATCAGTCTAAGCTATGTTCTGTCATCTCAGTTACATACAGCGAGTATATGAACAGGCAACTATTGGATGTTAACATACTAATGTTAGCATGCCCTTTTAGTATTGATCTCAAGCTGAGGCTGTTGGGAGGACAGTCTTTACTTTTAGAAGTATCTAGTAAAGTAAACTGTTATTTACTGTTGGACAAGTGAAAACTTTGATTCGAGGATCACCGAAGTCTTTGGGATTCATCCTTTGGGGATCACGAATTTCTGAACCAGACTTCAGGGCAATCCTTCTGATAGTTGCTGAGAGATTTCACTCTTTGTGTTTACTTAAACATTGTGAATTAGATTTATTAATGAACAAAAAGGGAAGAGCCTGTTGAAGACAGATGTCACTCCTCCTACTCAAATGAAGAGGAAGAATAAGCCCTGCCTCTCAATCTCTATGATTTTAATGTTCAACAGGGATGACGTTAAATCAATACACGCCTGATATTGTAAAATAAATGGTTAAACCCCGACAGCTGGAGGTTTCTGGAGCTCCTCGCCATGTTTTTGTACTGAGGTGTCTTCTACATTTGACTCGTTACTGACCATGAACACACGCAGCAGGTGGTTCCACCTTGTTATGCAGTTAGTGATTAACAGTATTTCGAACACTGAACGTCTAAAGACTTTAACTGTGTATGAATGAATGAAGTCGACTCTTGTAATGAAGTCTTTTTTTTTTTTTTTTAAGAGAATAATATAATCTACTGACCACATTCACATCTCATTGTCTCATTATTTCATGTTTACTGGTGATGGTTCGTCCTACGCAGCCTGTGAATTCTCACTGAGAGTTTGGAGACTACAGACGTATAATAGAAAAGTCTGTGCAACTGCAGGTGTTGAGATTGAAAGATGTTAATGTTAACTAAGCAAGGACGGTCTAATGAAGGATGTTATCAAGTTTTATGGGAAATGTAGGATCCAGGATGATTTCAGAGCAAAGTCAGGATATCTCTGCTGTACTACAACTGTTCAGAAGAGCAACATTAAATCACTGGAGTATATTCTTATAGAATAAATCACAATGCACAGTTTTAGAATAAAGTTTGTATGTTGTGTTGTTTTTTTTATTAGCAGCACAGTGGTTACTGATGCTTTAGGGGAAAAGTTCCCCAATGCAAGTAATACTGTGTGGTCCAACTGTCTTTAACCTCTTTTAATACTGGTTTTCACTCTTCTGTGATGACTCGAAGGAATAACTCCGGTATGAAACACTTCTTACAGACAGATCAATATAAAGTCTATAAGTTAGGTGTTGGGCCACCACATGCACTTCCCATTGAACATGAAGAGCAGACACAATGTTTGAGATAAATCTAACATGAAAAATATTATTTACTTTGAGATAACAAGCCTAAAAATATTCTCAATAAACGACAGCTGCTCTCAGCTATTGTACTTTGCTGTGCTGGCATATAAGACATACATATAAACAACAAATATTACTTTTTGTCTCTGAGTATTATGACTTTATTTTTGTAAAATGATGACATTATTCTCAAAATGTACCAATTTCTTTCTCTAAATAAGTTGGTATAATATACCAACTTCTTTCTCTAAACTTTAAAAAAAATAAAGTTATAATATGTAGAACAGATTTCTAGTTCTTCACATCACAGGGTTTTAACTTTATCTGTACACATTTTAATCTGAAACCATGTCAGTTTAAAACTTTATTTTTGTTTGAATCACAGTTAAAGTAGTTCATCAGAACATAATCAGCACAAATTACATTTAAAAAACGCTTTCACATACATAGTAACTTACAGTGAGTTCAAAATTAAGCCTGAATCTAAAGTCGTCTGGGACTGTTACTGTTACACAATGACTGACAGTGTGGAATTAAAAATAAAAACTATAAAAGCAAAATAATAAACATTATCAACTGAAAAACAAATTAGCCAAATAATATCAAATGATCCCCTATAATAAGTCATATTCCTCTCCCAAAAAAGACAATAAAAGTAGAGTTTGATGAATAAACTGTCAGATAATATTTTTTTTCTTACAGATATAGTAGTAGATGTTGTAAAGTGTAACTTAATGATCACTATTAGTAGGAACAACATTAACATATATCATGCTTTCAGTATCATTATCAACATCTTCTTAGAAATTAGAAAAAGCTAAATAATAAGTCACAAAATCAATAACATTACATTACTTAAGAACATCAGTAAGATGGTTTTTATGTTGCTGATTCACCGACTGTCCTCTGTTCATTCAGATATTTGCACTGTGATCAAAATGTTTGCTCATACAGACAACAAAACTTGTTGAACATGTATACTATCACTGCCTCTCTGTGTGTTCGGCCTGGACCTTAATGTGTTCTGCTGTTTGATCACACTTTCAAATTGTTGCAGTTCCTCATATAAAAACTCACAATCTCTGGACACATTTTAATCTGAAACATTTAGATTTTTATTCTTTATTAGTTTTAGAATCATAGTTAAACGTAGTTTATCAGAACATAATCAGTAATGCACAGATTACATTAACAAAACTGAGCTGCTTTCACATAGTAACTTATAATTAAATCAACATTAAACCTCAATCTAAAATCTTCACAATGTAGAAAGAAGTAAATCCTCTCACAGCACAGAATTAAATAGAAATTATAGAAGCAACATAACAAACATTATCAACTGAACCACAAATAAGCCACAGAAAATATATTTTTTCTTATAAAGAGTCATAATCTTCTCCCAAAAAAGAAAATAAATGTAGGGTTCAAGCAAGAAATTGTCAGTCCGATATAATATAGCAGTTTTGAATAGATTAAATGTTTTTTTTACAGATATATATGAATATTTATAATGATGTCTACTACATACAAACAGTATTTTACATACTTATCTCATTATCTTATCATTATTGTAAAGAACATCATCTCTATCATGCTTTCTCCTCCACAAATATCATCATCAACATCTTCTTAAAAATTGGAAAACAATACGAGTAACATAATAAAAACATTTGGTTTTCATTTAACGTTATCAGAACATTTATTAATTGATTCACTGAATGTTCATAATGACCCATAAACATGGCTCTAATGCTCCTAAAACACTCACTCTCTTCTATTTATACACAGATATTCACCCTGTGTGGAAAACCTGTGGTCACACAAACAAAAACTAAATTTCAAATTTCATAGAATTTTTTTTTGTTTCATTAACATAATATAATATATTATAATAATATATAGCATGCCAATGCATTTGGAAATCAGGCCACCTCCTTTTAATGCTGGGACTGTTCCACTGTTACAGAGACCATCAGTGGTAACATCTTCATTGGGAGATCATTTGTGGTGCTGATGTGGAGAAACAGTCTCTCAGTGAAAGTATGTGTGAAGGTGTGTATGTGTGTGTTAGTATCAAGATCAAAGAATGACAGTTTTCCTCTTTCAAAGTCCAGATGAACTCTGATCCTCTGGAGCTTCTTCACTGGGAGAACTTTGTATGGAAGTGGTGGAGAAACTGCTGTGTATTTTCCATCAAGGAGACATATTTCCCAGTATCCAGACATTATTTGTCCTGGAAAGGCTCCTTTAACGAACCTAGGGCCCAAAATGTATCATCCCCATTAACCTTAACATCCCAGCTGTGAGTCCCTGAGTTGAAGCCTTCAGAGCTCAGGACACAGCGGTGCATCTCAATCCTCTCTGGGTTTTCCGGAAGCTTCTGTCTCTCTCCACGGCTCACACTGGTCAGATCTTCAGACAGGATGAGTTCTGGGTTGGCAGTGTTTGGATCGAGAACCAGAGGAGTGTAGGAGACCATCTCCTTCATCTTGTTCCAGATGTTGAAGGTCAGGTTGCCCAGATGTTTGGCCACGTCTATCAGAGCTCCTGAGACCAGCTGTGGATCCTCCAGCAGGGGGCGATGCTGGACTCTTTTCACTGCAGCCTTGTAGTTCTGCAGGAATGAGATGTCTTCAGCTCTCAGCTCCTCCTCTGTGGCTCTGATTGTGTCTGAAAGAGCTGCTATCTCTCTGCTCAGAGCCTCCATCTGCTCCTTCATCACTTTACTCTTCTGCTCCTCTTCCTCCCTGAGAGCAGTGATCCTGGCTTCCTCTTCCTCTTCTAGAAACTGATGAAGCTTCTTAAACTGCTCCTTAATCTTCCTCTCTGTGTGTTCGGCCTGGACCTTAGTGTGTTCTGCTGTTTGATCAAAGTTCCCTTTAACTTGTTCAAATAGCTTCAGTTTCTCTTTAAAGGGCTTCAGGACTTTCTGGAGCTCCTCTCTGTGATCCTGTGCAGCTTCATTAATGGGTCTGAATCTGTGGTTGCTGTGTAATCTTGAATCTCTGCAGACAACACAAACTGGCTGCTGATGGTCCAGACAGAAGAGTTTGAGTTTCTCAGAGTGCAGACTGCAGAGATCCTCAGACCCTGCTGAAGCTCTCTTATCTCTCTCCAGTAAGAAGGCCTCACACTGGTTCTTTAAAGCCAGGTTACAAGGTGGATAACTCATTGATGATCTTCTCCTACAAACTGGACAGTCCTGAGTAGGTTTCTCTCTCCACCATCTCTGCAGACAGTCTTTACAGAAGCTGTGGCTACATGACAGAACAACAGGATCTATAAAGATGTCATGACAGACCGGACAGGAGAGATCCTTTTCTGATTCAGAAGACATTTTTCTCTGAGTGAAACTGGAAACACAGCCGGAAGACAGAGACGTTCCTTAGATAATAAAGCTTTACTTTCACTTTGAGTCTAAAACTCCTGTTTATATTGTGGAATCAGCAGCAGGTTGAAGTGGAAGTATCCCAGTGCTCCAGTATTTCTGATTTCTGTCCTTTGCTCTCAGCTTTGTTACTTTTCTGAAGTGGCATAAACAGGTGTGGCAGCTGTGTGCTCTCTTTTGTTGTCGGATGATTCAGACACAAACCGTTACTTCTTGGCTCCAAACCAGCTGTTTATTCTGATAAGACCAGAATCATATTTGGTCTCTCAAAGCAGTCAACTTTGTGGCATGAAGCTCCAGAAAAATCCTAAAACAAAAAAGATATGAATCAGCTTGCTAAGTGTTGGTTAGCAAGTTAACTACACCACAAGGATTTCTTATGAAGCTGGCACAGACAACGTGGTGAGCTCAACAAATTACTTGACAAAAAAATGACTACAACAGATTACCCACAACCAAACTCACCACAACGCATTTTATGTGTAAATTACAACATACAACATGCTGAAAATACAATTTGACCAACAACAACAAAGTTATTATTATATATAAGTATTTTAAAAGAGCTGATTACAGCTCTACCTACCTCAGATACAGGAAGCAGCAGGCTGGCACCAGGATGTGGGGTGCACACCTCAAGTCTGCAGGGGCCCAGCAGAGGCGTGTCACACACAACACACCACTCCCAGTAGAAAAATAATTATTAATAATGCATTGTTAATAAATACAATGATAGTTATGGCAAATAATAGTTAGTATTGGCAAGTGGAGTCATTAACTCTGCCACATCATCAATAACATGTAAACAACATTTACCCATGATTGTTCTTTATAATATATTAAGACTTAATTCTTTTCACTCATAACATTATTAATTTATTTTTATGATATCATGGCTTTAATTTTCAAAATATACCCACTTTATTTTAAATATATGACTTCAATATCGAATTCTGATTCAGAAGACATTTATATTCTCTGAGTGAAGCTGAAAACACAGAAGGCAAAATAATAAAAGCAGAAGTCAGAAAGTCATCAAGAAAGTTTACATAAAGTTACTTTCACTTCGAGTCGTAGCTCCTCTAAATTTTCTGTTTATATTCAGAAGCTGGTTGAAGTAAAATCCAGTGCTCCACTAATCCCAGTGTTACAACTGTTTTGTTCTTTCTGTGGTCCGTCTCTGCAGAAGTCCTGAGTTTGTTCTGGTGGTGAATGTTGAACACACTGGACCAGAAGTGCCGCAGTGTAACACATTTAGCAAACACACCCATCTGGTGCACGTGACCACACTTTAAGTGTGTTTATGTGTGTATGTGGGCTTGTTTTACTATATTTGTGGGGTCCATGACCCGGGGGCCGACTGTACTTGTGGGGTCTGACAGCTTTGTGGGGACCATAATGCCCCAAAAGATTAAAGGGCTGTTTGATGGTTAAGATTAGGTTTTAGGGTTAGGGTTGGCAGTGATTATTAAGTTCTGATGTTGAATACCCAAAGGCAAAAAGATATCACACACACAGATTTTCACGACAAAGTTGTGACGAATCAAAATTTTACCAATTTATTTTTGCCCTGTCAAACTAATGTACTAATGTTTGACTTTGGTTTTTGGTCACTAAAATGAAAAACTAGGAGGGTGCGTCCATTCACAGATCTGCTTTTGATGGTCAAGGTTAGAGTAAGATTCTACAGCAGCGTTTCTTTTCTGGGTACCCACTTTTTAAAAATGACAAACCATGACCCAATTCAGTGAGGAGAATAAAAGTTTCTGAGCATTTTCACTGTAATTTCTGCATCACGTCATATTTCCTTGAACAGGTAAAGATAAATACTTCATAAAAGAATTTAGCAGGAGGAATTCTGCACATTTATTTGTGACACAAATAAAATATCCTGCGACCCATGTGTGGGTCACCACCCAGTCTCTGGGAATTAATGTTCTAGGGAATGCATGAACACATGGATGTGTGTGTTATAATTTTCTTTGTCACATACCGAACACTTATTATTTGGTTGTTGTTGCATGTCTTCTCCACTTTGAAACAGCACCCCTCTTGACAGTAATAGCTAGTCAATGTCTGCCATTCGGTGTGGTCAAATGTGGTATTGCCCCCTAATCAACGCCTACCAAAGGTCAGATTGTTGGCGTCCTTACAGCCATGTTAACGGCTCTCACAGGTTGTGAATACAACGCCAAAATCAGTAACATGCTCACAAATGTAATGCTAACATGCTGATGTTTAGCAAATATTTTCACATATTAGTTTAGCTTGTTAGCCTGCTAACACTTGCTATTTAGCACTAAATAAAAAATTATAGCTGAACCTGATGTCAACATTAGTTTTGCAAGAATTTAGTCATAAAACTGACTAAAATTAAGATAAAGATGAAAAGTCAGAGGATTGCCAAAGCGATTACAATGGGGAAATTCAATCGCAGAGCATTCTGGGGCAGCACCGCCATTTTTGGAGGATAACATATATACATAGCTACCGTAGCTGTGATCATCTGTCACTTTCATTGTTCATCATCAGAATGTCTAAAGTACGTGCAAAAGACATTTTACCATCTAGCGAGTGGTTGGTGCTCATTTTGTGACCTGACTGTCAATAAGGATGTTCAACATAACAACACAGGATCTGACAACTAATGTACATTCACAGTGAGAGAAAGAGCACAGAGGAGAGCAAAGGTAAATGCACCATAAAGTTTATTACATAAAGAATATTCATATACATGGTACATTGCCTAATCTTTATTGTAAGGAAGAACAAAATCGTCTATGCTATTTCCACCAGAATCACCATCTTCTTACTTATTTTGTCCCTATAATTAGCCAGTTGACACACATTTGACTTCTTCTCAAAATCAAAAATTCAGTGTATTCAAAGATTTCAACATACAGACTTAAAACATGCTTGATGTTTGTGTGCTGTTGATGTTCACTATTGACCCACAATGAAATGCACAAAGGAAGTGGAGGAGCTTCTCACAGCTGGAGAAAATTAAAACTAATTGTGAATGGTGGTGGATCAGTTTGGCTCCAAGAACACCTCAGAGAATATAAATTAAGTATAAAATCTTTGTAAAACATTTAGCTGTTTCTGAATTTTAACTGACCAAAGTCACATTTTGATGATATGTGTTGTTTCGTATGCTAACAACAGAAACCATAAACTATGAAAATGAATATATAGGACACTTTGTTAACAGTTAGTGTTTATTATAAAAATGGGAAATAGCAACAAATATTAATGCCAAAATGAATAAGACAATAAAAACATTAACAGTACACCTCTTTCCATTCATACATTTATTTTTTAACCTTTACAGCTTTTCCAGGATCTTTAAAAATGTCCTGGCAGACCGGACAGGAGAGATTATTTTCTGATTCAGAAGACATTTATATTGTCTGAGTGAAGCTGAAAACACAGCAGGCAGAAGAATGAAAGCAGAAGTCAGTCAACCAAAAAAGTTCCCTTAACTTTACTTTCACTTTCAGTCGTAGCTCCTCATCTTCTGTTTATAATCAGCAGCAGGTTGAAATAAAATTCCAGTAATTCCAGTGTTGCCAGTGTATTTCCTTCTTTCTGTGGTCTTTTTTGCAGAAGTTTTGGTCTGCTGGTAAATGCTGAACACAATGAACACAAGGTGCTGCAGTGTCATGTGACTCACGTGATTTGATGCCCACATCTGTAGAATGAGAAACACACATAGTGCACACACCCATCTGGTTCAAACATCTTAAGTGTGTTTTTGTGTTTGTGTTATAAACAGGGATGGCTGGAACATAGGGGCTAACAGGGCTAAACCCTCCCTTTCTTTTATAGTATAGATGAGAAACTATTATTAAAAACCATTAAAAATATTGTTTTAAACTTTGGACAAACCTAAAGCAGCACCTGCACCAAACAGTGACAATAAAAACACAGGATATATGATCTCTCTTAGGTTTTCTCTTGTGAACTGGCTTATTGTTGACAGTCCAAATACAGTAGCATCAGCCTCTATTAAATGTTGTGTTAAATGAATGGCACACCCCCCATGATCTGCTGATCATTTGGACTGAATTCATATAAAAAATGAATTCATTCAACCAAAAGGCCAGTGACTTTTGACCAATGTAGCCTATATTACAGTGAGGTCCTAATACAAATGTGGGGAGAGGGAAGTGAGTAACTGTGACAATGGCAGGCGATAGCATTAAAATGAATGAGGTGGATTATTTATTTTCTCATTCATTTTCTTCAATGCCTTTTAGAGGAAAAGTTGAAAGTAAAGAGACTGGGGACACATCGTCCAAACGATGTTCAAATAACACAAAAGGACAAAAGACAAAATCGCAGGTTTGGACTGCCTAACGGCAAGTGTAGCTAAGGACTCACTTGTCTGCTTCCCATTCTTGGTTTTTGGAGGAGACCCAGCTTGGACCCAACAAGGAATTCTTTATTTGAAACATTTTTTCAAATAAATTAAGAAATATAAATACAGCTCAATCACACTGGAAATAGCATGAATTTTGTGGGGCACACGGGCCCTGCGGGGGTCAGACTATCAGATTGTTTCCAGTGTCCCTGATACTCTATCATAGTTCTTCAGATAACAGGGTTTTATCTAAGTTATTTTTTTGGCCTTTTATTGCCTTTATTGAGAGTGACAGCCAAAGATAGACAAGAAAGGGGGGGCAGAGAGAGAGGGGATGACACACAGGGATTTGATGAATTTAATCTGAAATCATGTTGATTTAATTCTTTATTACTTTTAGAATAATAGTGAAAAGTAGTTAATCAGAACATAATCAGTACATTTACAAAACTCTTCTGCTTTCACATTCATAGTAACTTACAAGTTCAAAATTAAGACTGAATCTAAAGAAGTAATATCTCTGCTTACGCAGTGCAAACCTAAATAATAACTAAAACAACAATCATAATAAACATCATCAACTAAACCACAAATAAACCAAAGAATATATATTGATTCCTTAAAATAAGTCCTGTTCCTCTAAAAATACACTAAAAGTATAGTTTGATCAATAAAGGCCGATATTAGTTTATCACAGATGTATTAACGTGTCTCCTCTTTATTTTTCAAATGTTTTATATCCCACCATATATATTTGTCACAATCGTTCATTTAAAATACAAACATATTGTTTAAAAAATTTAAATATCAGTTCTCTACTACATCCATACATACTGTAACCTCATTACCACTGTAAGGAAGAACATTATCATAATCATGCTTTTTACTCTACAAGTATTATCATCAACATCTTCTGAGAAATTAGAAAAAGCGAAACAATACAAAACAAAATCAGTAACATTTGTTTTTCATTTAACACTATCAGAATTTAAACTAATGCTCATAATGTCCCAGTATCATGGTTCTGCTCTATTCATTCAGATATTTGACCTGTGTTCAAAATCGTGTGGACAATGAACAAAAAACTCAAACAATTTGAAAATTCATTAAAAAATATTCTGTTTTAACTCCTAGAACATTTACAGTATCACTAATATGTCACATAACAGCATTTCTGAGTAAACTTACTTCACCAGAAATAAGAACATACAGGATGCTCAGCTAATAATGAAAAACAGGCATTGAGCCTGTTACTGAGACTGTTCCACTTTTACAGAGATTGTCAGTGGTAATATCTTCAGTGGGAGTTTGTTCCCAGTGGTAACAACTGGAAACAGTCTCTCAGTGAAAGTGTGTTTGAAGGTGTGTATGTGTGTATTAGTATCAAGATCAGAAAATGACAGTTTTCCTTTTTCAAAGTCCAGATGAACTCTGATCCTCTGCAGCTTCTTCACTGGGAGAACTTTAGGTGGAAGTGGTGGGGAATTTGCTGTGTATTTTCCATCAAGGAAACATAATTCCCAGTATCCAGACGGTATTTGTCCCTTTCTCCGGACAGACTCCTGTAACACACCTAGGGTCCAAACAACATCATTTTCAACCTCAGCATCCCAGCTGTGAGTCCCTGAGTTGAAGCCTTCAGAGCTCAGGACACAGTGGTGCATCTCAATCCTCTCTGGGTTTTCCGGAAGCTTCTGTCTCTCTCCACGTTTCACACTGGTCAGATCTTCAGACAGGATGAGTTCTGGGTTGGCAGTGTTTGGATCCAGAATCACAGGAGTGTAGGAGACCATCTCCTTCATCTTGTTCCAGATGTTGAAGGTCAGGTTGCCCAGGTGTTTGGCCACGTCTATGAGAGCTCCTGAGCCCAGCTGTGGATCCTCCAGCAGGGGTCGATGCTGGACTCTTTTCATTGCAGCCTTGTAGTTCTGCAGGAATGAGACGTCTTCAGCTCTCAGCTCCTCCTCTGTGGCTCTGATTGTGTCTGAAAGAGCTGCTATCTCTCTGCTCAGAGCCTCCATCTGCTCCTTCATCATCTTACTCTTCTGCTCCTCTTCCTCCCTGAGAGCAGTGATCCTGGCTTCCTCTTCCTCTTCTAGAAACTGATGAAGCTTCTTAAACTGCTCCTTAATCTTCCTCTCTGTGTGTTCGGCCTGGACCTTAATGTGTTCTGCTGTTTGATCAAAGTTCCCTTTAACTTGTTCAAATAGCTTCAGTTTCTCTTTAAAGGGCTTCAGGACTTTCTGGAGCTCCTCTCTCTGATCCTGTGCAGCTTCATCAACAGGTCTGAATCTGTGGTTGTTGTGTGTCCTTGAATCTCTGCAGACGAGACACACTGGCTGCTGATGGTCCAGACAGAAGAGTTTGAGTTTCTCAGAGTGTTGACTGCAGACAGCCTCAGAGCCTGCTGAAGCTCTCTGATCTCTCTCCAGTAAGAAGGCCTCACACAGGTTCTTTAATACCAGGTTACAAGGTGGATTGCTCAACAAAGGTATTTTCTTACACAGTGGACACTCCTTTATAGGTTTCTCTGTCCACCATGTCTGCACACAGTCTTTACAGAAGCTGTGGCTACATGACAGAACAACAGGATCTTTAAAGATGTCCTGGCAGACCGGACAGGAGAGATTTTTTTCTGAATGAGAAGACATTTTTCTCTGAGTGAAACTGAAAACACAGCCGGAAGACAGAGACGTTCCTCTGACAATAAAGCTTTACTTTCACTTTGAGTCTTAAACTCCTGTTTATATTGTGGAATCAGCAGCAGGTTGAAGTGGAAGTATCCCAGTGCTCCAGTATTTCTGCTTTCTGTCCTTTGCTCTCAGCTTTGTTACTTTTCTGAAGTGGCATAAACAGGTGTGGCAGCTGTGTGCTCTCTTTTATTGTCGGATGATTCAGACACAAACCGTTACTTCTTGGCTCCAAACCAGCTGTTTATTCTGATAAGACCAGAATCATATTTGGTCTCTCAAAGCAGTCAACTTTGTGGCATGAAGCTCCAGAAAAATCCTAAAACAAAAAAAGATATGAATCAGCTTGCTAAGTGTTGGTTAGCAAGTTAACTACACCACAAGGATTTCTTATGAAGCTGGCACAGACAACGTGGTGAGCTCAACAAATTACTTGACAAAAAATGACTCTACAACAGATTACCCACAACCAAACTCACCACAACGCATTTTATGTGTAAATTACAACATACAACATGCTGAAAATACAATTTGACCAACAACAACAAAGTTATTATTATATATAAGTATTTTAAAAGAGCTGATTACAGCTCTACCTACCTCAGGTACAGGAAGCAGCAGGCTGGCACCAGGATGTGGGGTGCACACCTCAGGTCTGCAGGGGCCCAGCAGAGGCGTGTCACACACAACACACCACTCCCAGTAGAAAACTAATAATTAATAATACATTCTTAATAAATACAATTATAAAGTTATGGCAAATAATAGCTGATATTGGCAAGTGGAGTCATTAACTCTGCCACATAATCAATAACATGTAAACAGCATTTAACACATGATTGTTCTTTATAATATATTAAGACTTAATTATTTTCACTCATAACATTATGACTTTATTTTAATGATATCATGGCTTTAATTTTCAAAACATACCCACTTTATTTTTGAATATATGACTTTAATATCGAAACATTTTTTTTTCTTGTATGACTTTATTCTCAAAAGATTATCAAATATACATATTTGATAATCTTTTGATTTTATATATACATACTGTATATCTATATGTATACGTATGACGTGTTTGTTTTTTAATCTCCTGACATGGTCCCTGATACTCCATCATAGTTCTTCAAATCACAGGGTTTTATCTAATCTTCACAATCTCTGGACACATTTTGATCTGAAACATTTTGATTTTATTCTTTATTAGTTTTAGAATCATAGTTAAAAGTAGTTTATCAGAACATAATCAATAATGTACAGATTACATTAACAAAACTGAGCCGCATTAACATAGTAACTTACAATGAACCAACATTAAACCTGAATCTGGAATCTTCACAATGTAGAAAGAAGTAAATCCTTTGACGTCTGTGCAGAATTAAATAGAAATTATAGAAGCAAAATAATAGAAATTATCAACTGAACCACAAATAAGCCACAGAGTATATTTTTTGCTTACAAAGAGTCATATTCCTCTCCCAAAAAAGACAATATAGTTAAACCAATAAAGTGTGAGGCTGATATAATAAAGCAGTTTTGAATAGATTTGAATAGGGTTTTTTTTACAGTCATATCAGTATCTAGAATGACCTCTACTACATACAAACAGTATTTTACATACTAATCTCATTATCTTATCATTATTGTAATGAAGAACATCATCTCCATCATGCTTTCTCCTCCACAAATATCATCATCAACATCTTCTTAAAAATTAGAAAACAATACAAGTAACATAATAATTATATGAGGGATATTCACCCTGTGTGGAAAACCTGTGGTCACACAAACAAAAAGTCAATTTCAAATTTCATACAATATTTTTTTGTTTCATAAACACTCAACAAAATATAGCATGCCAATGCATTTGGAAATCAGGCCACCTCCTTTTAATGCTGGGACTGTTCTACTGTTACAGAGACCATCAGTGGTAACATCTTCATTGGGAGATCATTTGTGGTGCTGATGTGGAGAAACAGTCTCTCAGTGAAAGTGTGTGTGAAGGTGTGTATGTGTGTGTTAGTATCAAGATCAAAGAATGACAGTTTTCCTCTTTCAAAGTCCAGATGAACTCTGATCCTCCAGAGTTTCTTCACTGGGAGAACTTTGTGTGGAAGTGGTGGAGAAACGGCTGTGTATTTTCCATCAAGGAGACATATTTCCCAGTATCCAGACATTATTTGTCCTTTTCTCTGGACAGACTCCTGTAACAAACCTAGGGCCCAAAATGTATCAACCCCATCAACCTCAACATCCCAGCTGTGAGTCCCTGAGTTGAAGCCTTCAGAGCTCAGGACACATGGGTGCTTCTCAATCCTCTCTGGGTTTCCAGGAAGCTTCTGTTTCTCTCCCTGTCTCACACTGGTCAGATCATCAGACAGGATGAGTTCTGGGTTGGATGTGTTTGGATCCAGAATCACGGAAGTGTAGGAGACCATCTCCTTCATCTTGTTCCAGATGTTGAAGGTCAGGTTTCCCAGGTGTTTGGCCACGTCTATCAGAGCTCCTGAGCCCAGCTGTGGATCCTCCAGCAGGGGGCGCTGCTGGACTCTTTTCATTGCAGCCTTGTAGTTCTGCAGGAATGAGATGTCTTCAGCTCTCAGCTCCTCCTCTGTGGCTCTGATTGTGGCTGAAAGAGCTGCTATCTCTCTGCTCAGAGCTTCAATCTGCTCCTTCATCTTCTGACTCTTCTGCACCTCTTCCTCCCTCAGAGAAATGATCCTGGCCTCCTCTTCGTCTTGTAGAAACTGGTGAAGCTTTTTAAACTGCTCCTTAATCTGCCTCTCTGTGTGTTCGGCCTGGACCTTAACGTGTTCTGCTGTTTGATCACAGTTTCCTTTAACTTGTTCAAAGAGCCTAAGTTTGTCTTTAAAGGGCTTTAGTGTTTTCTGGAGTTCCTCTCTGTGATCCCGTGCAAATTCATGAATTGGTCTGAATCTGTGGTTGTTGTGCATTCTTGAATCTCTGCAGACGAGACAAACTGGCTGCTGATGGTCCAGACAGAAGAGTTTGAGTTTCTCAGAGTGCAGACTGCAGACAGCTTCAGACCCTGCTGAAGCTCTCTGATCTCTCTCCAGTAAGAATGCCTCACACAGGTTCTTTAATGCCAGATTACAAGGTGGATCACTTCTTGATGATCTTCTCTTACAAATTGGACAGTCCTGTGTAGGTTTCTCTCTCCACCATGTCTGCAGACAGTCTTTACAGAAGCTGTGGCTACATGACAGAACAACAGGGTCTCTAAAGATGTCCTGGCAGACCGGACAGGAGAGATTATTTTCTGATTCAGAAGACATTTATATTCTCTGAGTGAAGCTGAAAACACAGCAGGCAAAATAATAAAAGCAGAAGTCAGAAAGTCATCAAGAAAGTTTCCATAAAGTTACTTTCACTTCGAGTCGTAGCTCCTCTAAATTTTCTTTTTATATTCAGAAGCTGGTTGAAGTAAAATCCAGTGCTCCACTGATCCCAGTGTTACAACTGTTTTGTTCTTTCTGTGGTCCGTCTCTGCAGAAGTCCTGAGTTTGTTCTGGTGGTGAATGTTGAACACACTGGACCCAAAGTGCTGCAGTGTAACACATTTAGCAAACACACCCATCTGGTGCACGTGACCACACTTTAAGTGTGTTTATGTGTGTATGTGGGCTTGTTTTACTATATTTGTGGGGTCCAAGACCCGGGGGCTGCCTGTACTTGTGGGGTCTGACAGCTTTGTGGGGACCATAATGCCCCAAAAGATTAAAGGCCTGTTTTATAGTTAAGATTAGGGTTTTGGATTAGGGCTAGCAGTGATTATTAAGTTCTGATGTTGAATACCCAAAGGCAAAAAGATATCACACACACACACACACACACAGACAGATTTTCAGGACAAAATTGTGACTAATCAAAATTTTACCACTTTATTTTTGCCATGTCAAACAAACATGCTAATGTTGTTTGACTTTGGTTTGGCACCACAAACAAAGTACTAGGAGGTTGCGTCCTGTCACAGATCTACTTGTAATAGTTATGGTTAGAATAAGATTCTAAAGCAGCGTTTCCGAAACTTTTGAGTGTACCAACTTTTTAAAATGACAAACCATGACCCAATACAGTGAGAAGAATGAACGTTTCTGAGCATTGTTACTGCTATTTCTGCATCACGTCATATTTTCTTGAAGAGGTTAAGCAGCCATTTTGAAGAGATATACGTCTGGTTGTTGTTGCGGCTGTGGCTCAGAGGAAGGTTGTAGGTTCGATCCCCGGCTCCTCCCGCCACATGTCGAAGTATCCTTGAGCAAGATACTGAACCCTGAATTGCTCCCAATGCTGTGAATGTGTATGAATGCGTTAGTTTCAGTTCGATGGACTTTGCCATCGTTGAGTGAATGTGTGTGAAAGAGTGAATGTGGCATGTAGTGTAAAAGCTCTTCGAGTGGTCGGAAGACTAGAAAGGCATTATACAAGTACAGGTCCATTTACCATTACCCCTCTCGACAGTAATAGCTAGTAAATGTCTGCCATTCTGTTTGGTCAAATGTGGTCTCACGGTTAACATTGAACGCGCTGGGCACACAATGCAGCAGTGTCACATGACTCGTCATCAGATACAAACGCTGGAATGAGGAACACACATAGGACACACACCAATCAGGTGTATGCAACCACGCCCTGCAGATCCACTGTGTTACATTTAGGAGGATCTGTTGGGAGAATAATATCCATAGGTATGTTTTCATTAGTGTATAATCACCTGAAAATAAGAATCTTTGTGTTTTTGTTACTTTAGAAAGAACTGTTTTTATCTACAGACAGAGCGGGTCCTCTTTTATGAAGTCTGCCAAGTTGAACCACCATGTTTCTACGGTAGTTCAGAAGGGACAAACGAAACACTGGCTCTAGATAGGACCTTACATTGTAGTGTCTCCTACAAGCTTACAAGGTGAATAGAAGTGCCCTCTACAGCGGTCCAATGTGCATACATAAAAAAAAACCTTTGAATATTATATTAATTTTATTCCAACAGATCTTCCAAAATGTTACACACTGGACCCTTAAATAAATTGCCCACAAACATTCAGCTTACTTCCTAGTTTGCAAAGAAATGCTGTAGTTGTGATGTCAGCTATAGAAGCAGGAGAGTTGTGAGTAGTGCTGTTTGGAGCCTGTGTGCTGTCTCTGGGAAAACGTACCGTTGATGTTTTTAATAGTTTATTATTTTTTTTAATAGTTTTTGTCACTAATGGAACTCTATGGCACTGAGGAATGAGATATAATAGGCATTGGATACACAGACAGTACAGGAGATCAACTGTTGGTTTGGGTTTGGTTCCAGATGTTGAAGGTCAAGTTGCCCAGGTGTTTGGCCTCGTCTATCAGAGCTCCTGAGACCAGCTGTGGATCCTTAAGCAGGGGGCGCTGCTGGACTCTTTTTACTGCAGCCTTGAAGTTCTGCAGGAATGAGACGTCTTCAGCTCTGGCTACATGACAGAACAACAGGATCTTTAAAGATGTCCTGGCAAACCGGACGGGAGAGATTATTTTCTGATTTCAAAGACATTTATATTCTCTGAGTGAAGCTGAAAACACAGCTGGCAAAAGAATGAAAGCAGAAGTCAGTCAACCAAGAAAATTTACATAACGTTACTTTCACTTTCAGTCGTAGCTCCTCTAAATCTTCTATTTATAATTTGCAGCAGGTTGAAGTAAAATTCCAGTCATAGTGTTACCAGTGTATTTCCTTCTTTCTGTGGTCCTTTTTGCATAAATTTTGGTCTGTTGGTGAATGTTGAACACAATGAAAACAAAGTACTGCAGTGTCATGTGAGTCACATGATTTACTTCCCACACATATATATATAATCCTACTTCATCCCTAGAAACATTTGAGGTGTCTTTTTCTATCTCAGATTTTTTTCATTGTCCCTAATACTCCATCGTAGTTCTTCAGATCACAGGGTTTTAACTCATGCTCAAAATATCTGGACACATTTTAATCTGAAACCATGTTGATTTAATTCTTTATTATTTTTAGAATAATAGCGAAAAGTAGTTAATCAGAACATAATCAGTACATTTACAAAACTCATCTTCTTTCACATTCTTAGTAACTCACAAGTTCAAAATTAAGCCTGAATCTAAATAAGTAATATATCTGCTTACACAGTGCAAACTTAAATAATAACTAAAAAACAAAATAATAAAACATTATGAACTAAACCACAAAAAAGCCAAAGAATATATATCGATTCCTTGAAATAAGTCATGTTCCTCTAAAAATACACTAAAAGTAGAGTTTGACTAATAAAGGCCGATATTAGTTTATCACACATGTATCAAAATGTCTCTCTTTTTTTTTTTATTATTGTAAATCCCACTAAATATATATATTCGTCACAATTCTTTCATTTAAATTGCAAATATATTGTTTTAAAACTTAAAATATCAGTACTCTACTTCATCCATACATACTGTAACCTCATCATCAATATAAGGAAGAACATTATCACCATCATGCTTTTTACTCCATAAGTATCATCATCAACATCTTCTGAGAAATTAGAAAAAGCAAAACAATACAAAACAAAATCAGTAACATTTGTTTTTCATTTAACACTATCAGAATTTAAACTAATGCTCATAATGTCTTAGTATCATGGTTCTCTTCTATTCATTCAGATATTTGACCTCTGTTCAAAATCATGTGGACAATGAACAAAAAACTCAAACAATTTGAAAATTCATAAAAGATTTTTCTGTTTTAACTCCTAGAACATTTACAGTATCACTAATATGTCACATAACAGCATTTCTGAGTAAACTTACTTCACCAGAAATAAGAACATACAGGATGCTCAGCTAATAATGAAAAACAGGCATTGAGCCAGTTAATACTGAGACTGTTCCACTTTTACAGAGATTGTCAGTGGTAATATCTTCATTGGGAGTTTATTCCAGGTACCAATGTATGGAAACAGTCTCTCAGTGAAAGTATGTGTGAAGGTGTGTATGTGTGTGTTAGTATCAAGATCAGAAAATGACAGTTTTCCTCTTTCAAAGTCCAGATGAACTCTGACCCTCTGGAGCTTCTTCACTGGGAGAACTTTACGTGGAAGTGGTGGAGAAACTGCTGTGTATTTTCCATCAAGGAGACATATTTCAGAGTATCCAGACGGTATTTGTTCCTTTCTCAGGACAGACTCCTTTAACACACCTAGGGCCCAAAAATCATAATTTCTAACCTCAACATCCCAGCTGTGAGTGCCTGAGTTGAAGCCTTCCGAGATCAGGACACAGCGGTGCTTCTCAATCCTCTCTGGGTTGTCAGGAAACTTCTGTCTCTCTCCACAGCTCACACTGGTCAGATCTTCAGACAGGATGAGTTCTGGGTTGGCCGTGTTTGGATCCAGAATCACAGGAGTGTAGGAGACCATCTCCTTCATCTTGTTCCAGATGTTGAAGGTCAGGTTGCCCAGATGTTTGGCCACATCTATCAGAGCTCCTGAAACCAGCTGTGGATCCTCCAGCAGGGGGCGATGCTGGACTCTTTTCACTGCAGCCTTGTAGTTCTGCAGGAATGAGATGTCTTCAGCTCTCAGCTCCTCCTCTGTGGCTCTGATTGTGTCTGAAAGAGCTGCTATCTCTCTGCTCAGAGCCTCAATCTGCTTCATCATCATCTGACTCTTCTGCTTCTCTTCCTCCCTCAGAGCAGTGATCCTGGCCTCCTCTTCCTCTCGTAGAAACTGATGAAGCTTTTTAAACTGCTCCTTAATCTGCCTCTCTGTGTGTTCGGCCTGGACCTTAATGTGTTCTGCTGTTTGATCACAGTTTCCTTTAACTTGTTCAAACAGCTTCACTTTCTCTTGAAAGGGCTTCAGGACTTTCTGGAGCTCCTCTCTGTGCTCCTCTGCAGCTTCATTAATGGGTCTGAATCTGTGGTTGCTGTGTATTCTTGAATCTCTGCAGACGACACAAACTGGCTGCTGATGGTCCAGACAGAAGAGTTTGAGTTTCTCAGAGTGCAGACTGCAGAGAGCCTCAGATCCTGCTGAAGCTCTCTGATCTCTCTCCAGTAAGAAGGCCTCACACAGGTTCTTTAATACCAGGTTACAAGGTGGATCACTCAACAAAGGTATTTTCTTACAAAGTGGGCACTCGTGTACTATTTTCTCTGTCCACCATGTCTGCAGACAGTCTTTACAGAAGCTGTGGCTACATGACAGAACAACAGGATCTTTAAAGATGTCATGACAGACCGGACAAGAAAGATCCTTTTCTGATTGAGAAGACATTTTTCTCTGAGTGAAGCTGAAAACAAGGCAGTCAGAGACGTTGATCAGACAAGAAAGGTGAACGTTTTACTTTCACTTTGAGTCCGTAGTTTCCTCCAAAACTCCTGTTTATATTGTGAATCAGTCACAGGTTGCAGTGGCAGTATTCCAGTATTCAAGTAATCCCAGTGTTCCCAATGTTCCCAATGTTCCCAGTAGTCCCTCTTTTTGGTGACCTTTCTCTGCAGAATTCTTGAGTTTGGTCTCACGGTTAACATTGAACGCGCTGGGCACACAATGCAGCAGTGTCACATGACTCGTCATCAGATATAAACACTGGAATGATAAATACACATAGCACACACACCCATCAGGTGTATGCAACCCCGCCTTAAAGATCCACTGTGTTACATTTAGGAGGATCTGTTGGGAGAATAATATCCATAGGTATGTTTTCATTAGTGTATAATCACCTGAAAATAAGAATCTTTGTGTTTTTGTTATTTTAGAAAGAACTGTTTTTATCTACAGACAGAGCGGGTCTTCTTTTACGGAGTCCGCCAAGTTGAACCACCATGTTTCTACGGTAGTTCAGAAGGGACAAACCAAACACTGGCTCCAGATAGGACCTTACATTGTAGTGTCTCCTACAAGCTTACAAGGCAAATGGTATTCAGTCACTAAATCCTACACACCGGTCCTTTAAATGAATGCCTGTTGAAGGCCTCACACAGGTTCTTTAATGCCATGTTACAAGGTGAATCACTCTATGATGATCTTCTCTTACTGGACAGTCCTGTGTAGGTTTCCCTCTCCACCATGTCTGCAGACAGTCTTTACAGAAGTTGTGGCTACATGACAGAACAACAGGATCTTTAAAGATGTCCTGGCAAACCGGACGGGAGAGATTATTTTCTGATTTCAAAGACATTTATATTCTCTGAGTGAAGCTGAAAACACAGCTGGCAAAAGAATGAAAGCAGAAGTCAGTCAACCAAGAAAATTTCCATAACTTTACTTTCACTTTCAGTCGTAGCTCCTCTAAATCTTCTATTTATAATTTGCTGCAGGTTGAAGTAAAATTCCAGTCATAGTGTTACCAGTGTATTTCCTTCTTTCTGTGGTCCTTTTTGTGTAAGTTTTGGTCTGTTGGTGAATGTTGAACACAATGAAAACAAAGTACTGCAGTGTCATGTGACTCACATGATTTACTTCCCACACATATATATATAATCCTACTTCATCCCTAGAAACATTTGAGGTGTCTTTTTCTATCTCAGATTTTTTTCATTGTCCCTGATACTCCATCGTAGTTCTTCAGATCACAGGGTTTTAACTCATGCTCAAAATATCTGGACACATTTTAATCTGAAACCATGTTGATTTAATTCTTTATTATTTTTAGAATAATAGTGAAAAGTAGTTAATCAGAACATAAACAGTACATTTACAAAACTAATCTGCTTTCACATTCATAGTAACTCACAAGTTCAAAATTAAGCCTGAATCTAAATAAGTAATATATCTGCTTACACAGTGCAAACTTAAATAATAACTAAAAAACAAAATAATAAAACATTATGAACTAAACCACAAAAAAGCCAAAGAATATATATTGATTCCTTAAAATAAGTCTTGTTCCTCTAAAAATAGTTTATCACAGATGTATCAACATGTCTCCTCTTTATTTTTCAAATATTGTAAATCCCACTAGATATATATATTCGTCACAATTCTTTCATTTAAATTGAAAATATATTGTGTCAAAAATTAAAATATCAGTACTCTACTTCATCCATACATACTGTAACCTCATCATCACTATAAGGAAGAACATTATCACCATCATGCTTTTTACTCCATAAGTATCATCATCAACATCTTCTGAGAAATTAGAAAAAGCAAAACAATACAAAACAAAATCAGTAACATTTGTTTTTCATTTAACACTATCAGAATTTAAACTAATGCTCATAATGTCTTAGTATCATGGTTCTCCTCTATTCATTCAGATATTTGACCTCTGTTCAAAAACATGTGGACAATGAACAAAAAACTCAAACAATTTGAAAATTCATAAAAGATTTTTCTGTTTTAACTCCTAGAACATTTACAGTATCACTAATATGTCACATAACAGCATTTCTGAGTAAACTTACTTCACCAGAAATAAGAACATACAGGATGCTCTGCTAATAATGAAAAACAGGCATTGAGCCTATTAATCCTGAGACTGTTCCACTTTTACAGAGATTGTCAGTGGTAATATCTTCATTGGGAGTTTATTCCAGGTACCAATGTATGGAAACAGTCTCTCAGTGAAAGTGTGTGTGAAGGTGTGTATGTGTGTGTTAGTATCAAGATCATAAAATGACAGTTTTCCTCTTTCAAAGTCCAGATGAACTCTGATCCTCTGGAGCTTCTTCACTGGGAGAACTTTATGTGGAAGTGGTGGAGAAACTGCTGTGTATTTTCCATCAAGGAGGCATATTTCAGAGTATGCAGACTGTATTTGTCCCTTTCTCTGGACAGACTCCTTAAACACACCTAGGGCCCAAAATGTATCATCCCCATCAACCTCAACATCCCAGCTGTGAGTCCCTGAGTTAAAGCCTTCAGAGCTCATGACACAGCGGTGCATCTCAATCCTTTCTGGGTTGTCAGGAAGCTTCTGTCTTTCTCCACAGCTTATACTGGTCAGATCTTCAGACAGGATGAGTTCTGGGTTGGCAGTGTTTGGATCCAGAATCACAGGAGTGTAGGAGACCATCTCCTTCATCTTGTTCCAGATGTTGAAGGTCAGGTTGCCCAGATGTTTGGCCACATCTATCAGCGCTCCTGAGACCAGCTGTGGATCCTCCAGCAGGGGCCGCTGCTGGACTCTTTTCACTGCAGCCTTGTAGTTCTGCAGGAATGAGACGTCTTCAGCTCTCATCTCCTCCTCTGTGGCTCTGATTGTGTCTGAAAGAGCTGCTATCTCTCTGCTCAGAGCCTCAGTTTTCTCCCTCATCACTTTACTTTTTTGCTTTTCGTCGCTCTTCAGAGCAGAGATCCTGGCCTCCTCTTCCTCTTCTAGAAACTGGTGAAGCTTTTTAAACTGCTCATTAATCTGCCTCTCTGTGTGTCTGGCCTGGACCTTAATGTGTTTTGTTGTCTGATCAAAGTTTCCTTGAATTTCTCTTAAGAGCTTTCGTTTCTCCAGGAAGGGCTTCAGGACTTTCTGGAGCTCCTCTCTGTGCTCCTGTGCAGCTTCATTAATGGGTCTGAATCTGTGGTTGCTGTGTAATCTTGAATCTCTGCAGACGACACAAACTGGCTGCTGATGGTCCAGACAGAAGAGTTTGAGTTTCTCAGAGTGCAGACTGCAGAGAGCCTCAGATCCTGCTGAAGCTCTCTTATCTCTCTCCAGTAAGAAGGCCTCACACTGGTTCTTTAAAGCCAGGTTACAAGGTGGATAACTCATTGATGATCTTCTCCTACAAACTGGACAGTCCTGAGTAGGTTTCTCTCTCCACCATCTCTGCAGACAGTCTTTACAGAAGCTGTGGCTACATGACAGAACAACAGGATCTTTAAAGATGTCATGACAGACCGGACAGGAGAGATCCTTTTCTGATTCAGAAGACATTTATATTCTCTGAGTGAAGTTGAAAACACAGCAGGCAAAAGAATAAAAGCAGAAGTCAGTCAATCAAGAAAAGTTACTTTCACTTTAAGTCGTAGCTCTTCTAAATCTTCTGTTTGTAAAGTGGAATCTGCAGCAGGTTGATGTAAAATCCAGTGCTCCACTAATCCCGGTGTTACCAGTGTTTCGTTCCTGTGATCCGTTTTTGCAGAAGTCCTGAGTTTGTTCTGGTGGTGAATGTTGAACACACTGGACACAAAGTGCTGCAGTGTCATGTGACTCACATGATTTGATGCCCACAACTGTAGAATGAGGAACACATATAGCGCATGCACCCATCTGGTGCACTTGACCACGCCTTAGTTTGCATGTGTTATTGGCTATCGGTGCATTTCCTCTCCATTTTGAAACAGCAGCCTTCGCCATCATAATGACTGCTGAATGTAGCTGTTGTTATCTGTCACTGTCACCAGTCACCGGTCATTATCAGGAACTACGTGTGAAAAAAATAATTTACAAACATTTGGCTGGTGGTTGGTGCTCATTTTGTGCCCTGACTGTCATTGAGGATGTTCAGCATGGAAACAGTGTCCGATAACTAATCTACATTCTCAGAGAGAGAAACAGCACAGAAGAGAGCAAAGGAAAATGCACCGTAAAGTTTTGTAAAGCTACTTGATTTTTAACATCAAATGCAAACATTATTCCCCAAATCAGGACCTTTGCAAGCTAGATGACATTTAAATTCCATCCCTCAGTTATGTTCTATGTTGGGAAAAAATGAAAAGTAATCCTGCAAACCCACTACACAACAGTTATAGCGACCTCGAAAAGTGGCCGACTGGCTGTTGATGACATTACAGTGCCGTTCCTTATGGTAAGATATCCCAGTAAATTTACATACATAATACATTTACTAATCTTTATTGTAAGGGAGAACGTAATCATCTTGCTATCTCCACCAGTATCACCTTCTTCTTATACTTTTTCCCCCCATTATTGCCAGTTGACACATTTCACATTTTACTTTTTCTCAGAGTCATAACTTAAAGCAGAAAAGTTGTAACAATAAGAAAAATTCAGTATTCTTAAAAAAAAGTCAATGTACGGACTAAAACATTCTTAATATTTGAGTGCTACTGATCTTTATTGCTTTGTCTTGAAGTTATTAGCCTAATTCTGGCCCATCCCGACTCTGTCTGGCTTCGTTTTGCCCTGATTGACTCTGCCTTGCTATTTTTAGCATTGTTGGTCCTGTCTTGCTCTGTTTTGCCCAGTTGCCCTGTTATTAGCCCCGTTTGTGCCCTGTCTGGCATCGTTTGAGTCTGGATGTCCTGCTTGGCTCGTCTAATCCCTGTTGGCCCTGTCTGGATCACTTTACCCCTCTTTTGGACCTGCCTTGGTCCCACTAGCTTTGTGAAGCCTTTGTGGACTATCTGTCTGTGTTTAACACCATTTGGCCCTGCCTGGCTCTGCTTAGCCCAGTTTGGTCCGGCCCGGCTTTGTGGTCCACATTCTTTTAAACCACACGCTAAAAAGCTGCAGATTGAGAGGAGGAGGAGGAGGAATCCCTGACGTTGCCATTGGTTGAGGAGTTTTTCTGACTCACTCTGATTGGCTGGCAGGGAGTGAGCAGGGAATCCCTCAGGGTTCTCTGTGTCTTTGTCTCAGATTAAAAACACAAACAGTCCAGTCAGGCCTCGCTGCTCCAGGTAGTCCTCCAGTCTGCTGAAGACCAGGACTGAATCACAGCCTTTCTGTAGCAGAAAGCAGTGCAGCTGCTGTTTTTAAGACCATAAATCTCCCTGATTACTGCCAGTCTGCTGCTGCATGGTCTACAGCTGTAACGTAGCAGGTACCTGTAATATTTTGCAGAGCAGTGTGAGTTCAGAAAGAAAAATGAAGTGAATGAGAGAGCTGCAAAAGCAGAAAGTGTTGGGAAACGTATCTGTTTCCCTTCAGGGGCGTGTTGGAGCAAAATCAGGAGGTGCAGAGACCTGCTGAGTTCATGTTGCAGAGGGTGGAGAAGGAGAGCTGGCCACAGGACGAATCAGGAGGGAAGAGTGGAGGGAAAAAATAAAACAGAAAAGAAGGAGCAGGAGTCCAAAGCTGAAGAGGAGAAAGGTGAGTTTCTAAAGATATAAAAAAGAGAAAAGAAAAGAGAAAGTCTGAATGAGAAAAAAGACCTTTGGAGTGAGAGTGAAAAGTGAAGAAGTTAGTGAATGTTTGTCAGCAGGAGTGAGATGAAAGTCTAGACGGTTAAATTGCAGAGAGCTGTGGAGAGCCGGCGGAGCAGAGCGGCGGCAGGAGCGACGGTGGGCGGGGAGAGAGAGGAAGTGTGGTCGACAGGAGAGGAATTTAAAGTCCCATTGTTCTGGAAGAGCAGACGCAGAGAGAGCTGAGGAGCCGAGGAGTCGAACCACCGACAGACGCTGGACAGTATGGACGTGACCTCAGCTGTGGAGAAGGTAGGATAGAAACATTTACATCTGAAACTCTTATTGATTGATTAACAACAGTAATGAGGAGGTCAAAGGTCAGAGGGTCAGCTTGTCTGATGATAGATCTTCTGTTGATGGATCTGGAGAAACTCTTAGCTTGGATTATTAAGACTTCACTGAGTTCAAATGAACTATATTACCATTCAATATACAGTATATGTGCACAAACAGGGCAGCTTTGAAAGAGGATTTAAATACAAACACCCAGAAACTTCTCACCTTTCTATTCTGTTCTTTTGTTTTCATGAACTTAATCATAATTAGGGCATTTTGTTTCACTTTCTAATTCAGTGTTCATGGTAACTTATGTTTGATGGAGGGTTATTTTGTTTTATTTTTAAGCTTTATCTGTTGGGGGGGGGTTCACTGGGAGCAATGCTCTCTTTTTCAGGAACACCTGATCACATTCACACAGTTACACAATCAAACCTAGAAGCTGCCCAGCACAACCACAATCTGGGCCATTGTGCAGCTCCACTGGAGTGTTCAGGGTTAAGGGCCTTACTCAATTGAACCCTCAGTGGTGGTGATGAGGGAAGGACAATCACTGCCTTTCACTTTCCCCACTCAGATTCATCCTGCCGCTTTGTGGGATCCATCCGATGAGCTCGCTGACATCATTTTCAGTTGTTAGAATCAATTCACCTGATGTTTTATGTTGATTTGTGCAATATTTTGATTTATGAATTGTTATTTCTGTAACATTGATTTACAACAACCTCCACATCCTCGACGCATGATTGTCGCCCCTTTTTAAAGACGTTTTTTGATGCAATTTACAGGCATAGACATACGAGTATAGAACATTCATGGATCATATACGTAGAGTAATTATCGGCCTTGTTTGCAGTTGGAGGTGTCCTGTTAATGCTTGCCATGATGTCTGTGGCACAGGAGGTAGAGCAGGTGGCCCCTTAATTAGGACGTTGGCGGTTCAATCCACGGCTCCTCCTGCTGCAGTGTCCTTGAGCAAGATACCGAACCCCAAATTGCTCCAGATGAATGACTTAGCTTCTGTTTGTGATGGCCTTTACCAGCAGTGTGTGAATGTGTGTCTATGTGACATGTAGTGTAAAAGCACTTTGAGTGGTCAGAAGACTAAAAGGGTGCTATATAACTGCAGTACATTTACTTTGCTCTGATTGGTCCATTGTTTTTCTAATTGGAAAAATGCATCAATGAGCTCTGAAACGTGGTCAGCAATTTAAAGGTCTAGACAGGATTTATTTAAAGTTATAATCCTTAAGATTTTATGATCTCAAACCACATTATTGCTGTTTCTTCCTGCAAGTGTAGTTCAAATTCAGTTCAAAATACTTAATTTGTTCCTCGAGGGGCAATTTGTGGCGAGTACATTCGTAAACACAAATATACAATTCATTCCCATGCATAAAAATACAAATATGACCATGTAAGGACAGACTTACATTCTCTAATTGCCTCCACTTTTGCTGCGTGGGATTCACAGGAAATGATGCATGTGTGTATGGGCGTGATGTAGTAGACAAGACAGTTGTGAATCGGGTGTCAACTCAGTCTTTACTGAAACAAAATGAGTCAAGGGTTTGTTTAGCTACAGTACACTTGCTCTCATTTCTGTAGATAAAACAAACAAAGTTCTTCTGACAAAACTCCAAATGACTGTTGAATTCTTTGGCAGAAACCGATAATTCCCCTCCTGATCCAAAGAATCCTGTGGAAGAAAATTCATCATTGCTGCCAAATGAAGTTCCTTCTCACAGCTGGACATTTTTTTGAAAAAAATCTTTTCACATCTGGTGAAGATATGATCAACAAAAAGGCAAAGAACCAAAGTTAATAAGTTTAAATTGATGAGACTATATTTGTCTAAAGAAACTTGGAGAAAAAGGAAGTGTTGCTACAGTTAGCGGCCAAAATGAGCGATGGTGTGACGGCTCAGGACTGTTCACATCCGATTCCTTTCAAACAGCTGGAGATTTCTAATTCTGTCAGTGAAGGTAATCCTTGACCACGAGGACCCGAACCCCCCCCCGCTGGGTCTGTTCTGACAGCCTGTTATTTGTCCTCTGGTAGTCCATCCAGAGGTCACATCAGTGTGAGGCAGATAACCTGATGGATCAGTGTCACCTGTCGGGGGTTTGATCCCTCTGACCCCCGTTTATACCCCAGAGCTGGAAAAACTGCCATCACCAGGATGGAAATAACCTCCAATACACACACACACACACACACACACACACACACACACAACACACACACACACACACACACACACACACACACACACACACACACACACACTGGGTTTCAGGATATGCAGGGACGTGTCTCTGTAACCAAAACACAAAACGAAGCCTTCCAGACTTCAAGTTTTTAATTATTGATTAAATTGATGATTATTTTGTTTCTAAAAAGCCAGAAAGTTTCCTGACGCCAAGGTCATCAAATCGCCTGTTTTGTTTGACCAACAATCCAACTATATAATATATTGAATTTAATATCATATAAGACAAAGAAAAGCAGTAAATCATCACAAAAGACAAACTAGAACTGGGGAACATTTGACGTTTTTTCTTTAAATAATTACTTAAAGTTTCAGGTTTTTGCCCATTTTGCACCCACCATAGTTTTCTCTTGGAAGAGGATGGTGAAGGGAGTGAGATGCAATTTGCAATTAGACTGATAGAAACAACTAATTCTTACAAACTGCTCCTTTAAAAGGTTATCAAACAAGTTATTGTCGCAGCCCTAAAGTTGAATATGCCATTTTATCATTAACTGACAGTGAGACTGGTTTCATTTTCAGTTTGAAAGAAAAATCTATTTAGATACAAATAGGAAACAATAGAAATAGTCACTATAATCTATAGTCGTTCTCTTCATGATGTCCCAGTAGTAGTTAACACTTATGAATAGTGATAATGAGACGTTGCTCTATACTGCAAATGCCAGCTCATTTGTGGCACAGCTTTTAGAGAACAACAGGAAATATCCAGGATGCCATGTCTTCTGGACTGCAGCAGGTCAACTCGCCTCCTCTTTGACCTGCAGCTTTCTTATCTGACACTGTTTCCTGCAGTTTCCTCTTCACATAGCCGACGTGTTTATAATTACACAGCGAGGCTCAGCTGAGTCTGATCCAACTACGACATACTCACCTTATCTGACTCCTAAATATAGAGCTGCCACACTTTTCCCTCTTTCTGAAAAAAAAAATGCATTTCTTGTTCTGGCTCATATGTTGGCAGCAGTTAGAGGAACTATTATAACTGTACTGTTCAGTGTTTGTGGTTAAGATAACTCCATCAGACCAACTGAAGGTTGTCAGTGATCACCTGATAACGGAGGAGATACACTGAATAAATGTTTGTGCTGAATTAATAAGCTTCAAATCATTCAATAGTTCAGATTTCCATTGAAAGTACAGGAAAGGGAGGAAATATGCATGGGGAGACTTTAAGGGGTGGCAGAAATATACACTGATTTAATCGCAAACAATCAATATTTCCTTGGAAAAGCCCCCAAATGAAGATGCTTTAACTCAACAACATTACATTATTGTAGCACATTAGTAAAGTATTAGTATCTAACACGTTTACCTTTGTTTAAAAATGAATCTACATCAATGTGTTACATTTCACACCAAACTGGGGGTTAGTTTACTCGTTCTTAGTAATACATCAGACTGACAGTAAATCCAGCTCTCATTTCCAAGAAAGTCACTTTCTCTTCATCATTCCTTCCTCTTAGTACTAGCATTACTACACTACAAATAAGCTGATTATTCAGAGGCTGATTCACTCTCTTGTTCACTAATAACTGTTTGTTGTCTGGGTTCAGCTCAAGAGGAGAAGAGGAAGATTTATATGGCTGGTCGACATTAATCCTGGAACTCATTCATTTCTGTAGCAAAAAGAAAGACTTTTTTTTTTATTAATACCACTTTTCTAACAGTCATAGCACATAAAATCAAAGTCTTTGTCAATGAAGACAAACAGGGAACCAGTTATGTGTTTAATAATAATACTTATAATAAAGCTAATCTTTGAGTTTATCATGTTTAAAGGAACACTCTATGCTGTCTGTCCATTACAGACATAAAATACAACAAACATATTTAAAAAAGGAACTTCAGAAACCAATGTTGCTGTGTGTGCACAAGCAAATTGAGAAGTTTTCTCAACCACACAGAAATGATGGAAAGTTTCCCTGCAGTGTTCACCACAAAACAAACACAACATTATCAACATTATCAGCATCATATCAGCTGTGTTATGACTGGTTGCAGGTTGAGTAAACAGGTTTTTTGTTTCATGCCACATCTGCTCTTACTGTGACTCACCAAGTTCCTCCCACCAGAGTCACAGTGAGCATCTTTACCAGTAAATACACGTTAAAACAAACTGGTGACAAACTTCATTGGGAGTGAAATACTTGTTATCGACAGGAAGAAGACAACAGCAGAGTTTTAGTGGAAGTGTTTAACTCCTGACGTAATGCCTCAGTCCCAGTGGCTGTGAGTTGGTGTCAGCTCAGTAACACAATAACGAACACACACAGTCAGTCAGTCAGTGTATTCCAGAGGGACGTAATGAAGTCTTGTTCTTCTTCAGCTGTTTCTGTTCCAGCCGTCAACGCCGTGACCTTTTCAACACGGGCCGATCAACAGCCTCTCCACTGTCACACACACCTACACACAGTCTGAATTCTCTCTTCACACCTCTAAACACACACATCTGTCCTCTGTCACAGCTAATGACAGCTCCCCTCTCTCTCTTATGATAACGTCTGATGCTTGCTCTCCCTCTGAGAATTAAACTCAACCTTGTGTGTTTGTTTATAGAAAAATGTCTAGTAAAAAGAAAACACTATATGGCCAAAAGTATGTGGACACCCCCGTCCATCCTCTACTTTTTCACCTGTTTTAAGTCCCTCATATTCCAATGAACATATCAAATGAACAGAACATTTTGGGAAAGACGTTTTTTTGCTTTGCTCTGAACTGAACAAACCGAACACTGGTTCTAGATAGGGCAGTGTAGTTGTAGTGTTTTAGTTCACTGCAATCTGAAATCTCTCTGTTAGATGCCATTAAATCCTACACACTGGTCCTTTAATGCCACAGCATACAATTATATTTTTATACAATAGTGTTCTTTCAGCATTGTGTGCAACAGTTTGAAGAAGATCCTTTCCTGTTTTAACATGACAGCGTCCTTCATACACAAAGCCAGGTCCATAAACAAATGTGTTCCCAGTTTGTTGTGGAAGAACTGGGATACAAAGAGCCCTGACCTCAACCCCATCAAACACCTCTGGGATGAACTGGAACTTCAAATTTGAGCCAGACCTCATCACTCAACATCACTGTTAGACGTCACTAATGCTCTTGTGGCTGAATGGGAGCAAATCCCTGCAGCCAGTTCAACACTTGAAACTGAAGAGCTTGTCTCTCTCTCTCTCTCTCTCTCTCTATATATATATATATACAGTATATTAGGTGCATGAACGTCTCCCTGAGGAGAAATGGGCTTGTTAATACCTGGTGACAGATGGACAGGTGGACAGTCCGTCTCTTTGTAAGACAAATAGCAGCAGGTTGTTTTAGAACAACAGTCATCAGGTTCCCTGCCAGAGGCTTTAAAGACAATCAGTCATCCCTGAGTGTTGTTTCATGCTTGCACACACACACACACACACACACACACACACACACACACACACACACACACACACACACACACACACACACACACACACAGACTATACAGGCAATAAAGGATATATCCATAGTCAATAAGAGACTAAGAGAGGTTGAATACGGTTGGAGGAAGACAAACATCCTTTAATTCTGTACAAGAAACCCAGTTTGATTTTTAACAAGCGGTAACGTGATGACAATCGAACCAACTCCACTTACTGATGAAGACTGAGAGATGTGGTTGAAAGATCAGGAATAAAAAGGCTATCAAGTGGACCTTGAGTTAAGGTTACTTTTAAACTTTAACAACATTTTGTTAAAGTTCAAGAACTAATAACAAACTCATCACAAGACTAAAATAAAACCAGTAGAGTTTAAAGTACAAAGTGTGGAGGAGGATTGTGGGTACGTTCTTTCCTTTTTAATTCAAAGGAATTGAGGAATGGAAAGACGAGGCACAGTGAGGACAGGAAGAGAAGAACCAAAGAGAGGAGCGGATAAAAAAAAAAACAGAGACTGACAGACTGTTAAAACAGATAAAAATGGAGAAAACACTGAATGTTTGTAGAGCCGAGGAGGAGGAGATGAGAAATGGAGTGTTGGGACGACAGATAAGCGTGTTTGTCAGTTACTGTGATGATGATGTCACTGGGTGGACCAATGAGATCATCCACCACCCTGCACGTGTGTGTGTGTGTGTGTGTGTGTGTGTGTGTGTGTGTGTGTGTGTGGTGTGTGTGTGGCGTTCACTCCCTTCCTCCTTCCTCCCACACTCACTGAGAAAAGTTCAAAACAACAACTCTTCTTCTTTCTCATCCAACACTTCCACACACGTCTGAATGATCTTCGTCACTTCAGGCTCCTCTGTTAACTCGAACCTGGTTGAATTTGGGGTTGAAATTGTTTTGGGTGGCTCAAGGTCCACGTACGAGCTTTTTCTGGAGCTTTCACCCGCATCTCATCAGCAGAGGATGTTGGTTGAAAGCTAATATGAACGCTGGTTAGTGGACATTGAGTTAAGATTATTTTTCCATCCAGTGAAAAAACCAAAACCAACAACCCTAAATCCATTTCTTCCAACCAAAGACATCTTATATACGTTTATAATATAAAAAGGGTCAATAATATCCTAAAACAGGTTGTTATTATAGTTTTTAAAGGTCCAGTGTGAAACATTTAGGAGGATCTATTGACAGAAATGGGATATAATGTTCATAGTTGTGTTTTCATTAGTTTCTAATCACCTTAGTTACCTTCCATGGAGTGCATCATGTTTCTACAGTAACGCAAAAGGGACAAACCAAACACTGGCTGTATTTTTTCCTGTTTCTAAACTTGAGGACAAAAGTTTACTTGCTGCCTGATATATCCCACCCACTGACAGGAGCCATGATAACCAGATAATCAGGGTTATTCACTTCACCCGTCAGTGCTCATAATGTTATGGCTGATACACACACATAGTAACAAAACTCTCCAGTATATATCTCCAGACTTATCCCTTAAAGTCACACATTAAACTAATCTCATAATTATGACTTAGTGTTTCATAATTTCCAACTTTTTCATCAGTTTTTTATTTTCTTGGTTTTCTACACTCGATCCAGCTCCCGTCAGGCTGTTGAGTCCTCTGATCTTTTGACACTCTGTTGGATTGCTTATAATGTAGAAACATAAATGGACAAAATATGTAGAGTAAATGAAAGTATAACATCATTGCATTCTTTCTGTATTTTGCCTCCTCTCAGATGTCTGTAAAGCAGAGTGCAGGAGGTGCAGCGGTGTGTCTTGTATGTAACGGGAGCTGCTCTGGATTCCAGCCACATTCTTGGAGGTACAAACCTTCCCTGTGTTCCATGTGGGTTTTTTTTATGTATTACTCTTTTTTATTTCCTAAACAAAAAAAAAAAAAAGAAAAACAATGAAAGGAATGAAAAGAGAAAAACCAAAAGCCCTGGATACAGTCCTAGTAGTTTTTCCACTCCTCTCAACGACTCTCTGTTCTTACAGGAACATGTTTGTGGTTTTGCATATTTTAGTCAACAGACTCCGACTGAAGATGAGATTGGAGTCGGCTGTCAGACAGCACTGCACTCACAAGCTCAAAAACTACATTGAAAGCAATTAACCCAGGTGTTACGACTACCCAAGCTTCCCCACAACAGCATGCGAGAAACTCAATATTAAGCATAATACAATATGTTTCTGTCAATTAATCACTTAAACTTGTTGATGGTGTCCTTGCTAGTAAAGTATTGATTAATAGAGTTGAGTAGAGTTCAGGCATCCAGGGTTCATAGTCTGATAAACAATGTTAGGCGACGGCTCTTCAAGGCTTAGATGGACATTAAACTCTCCTGGTTAAATCATCACTACAAAAGTTAAACAATTAAATTAAACTCACCCAATTAGTCAGAGAGCAACATATTTTTCTTTGATGTCTCCTCATTTAATTGCCTTCACTTCTCTCCTCCCATTCTTCTTGACCTTTCCACTGAGCAGGAAAGCCTGTATAGCCTGTGGCTGCAGCACGATCGACCACGCTCCTGGAAGTGACGTCGAGGATGACCAGCGAATGGGACGCCTGCTCGCAGACTCGCCTTGCTCCCATTTGACAGCGAAGGTTAAAGGAGGAGGCGGCCTTCGGATGTACAAGAGGAACCGAATGATCGTGACCAATCCGGTGGTGTCGCGTAAAGACCCGACCTTCAACACCACGACATACGATTGGGCACCGGCCGGCCTCAACCAGACACTGGTGAGGGTCAGTGTGAAGTACAGGAGGTTGGTTGTTCGTATGAAGCTGCAGCCTGTTGGTCTGCGTCAGACTGTAAAGTCACATTTTACTCACCTGCTGAGATCTGAGGACAACAAGGACTTGCTGATTACAGAGATGTATCAAAAAAGTCCAAAACAGCATGCAAAAGAAATTAGGTTTTAAACCAACTCATAATAAGGATGTGATCTAAACCAGTGGTTCCCATCTTTTTCCTTCAGGGACCCCTTTTCTATTCTATCTGAAGACCCATAAGTGACATATTTTATGGATATTTCATATTATATTTAACAATAACAGAACAACTGATAAACTGAACAGTGAACACAATAACTGCAGGAAGTTTGGATCTTAAATAATAATCTAAGCTTTAAAAATAACAGTTTCATTTATTTTTCTTCACAGAAATGAATAAAATGTTGATATATAAGTTTTTTTAAGTTTTCTTACACCACCCAAAATCTAGAAGTCCTCACAACGCCTTATGAAGCTTTGGTGACCCTTAGTCGGGACCAACAGGTTGGGAACCAGTGCTCTAAACCTTTAAATCTTTAAGCTAATGTTTAAATTACAACCCAAACCATCAGTTATAAACATGCATTAGATATTACTTATTATACTAAAAGTCTTTAATTGTAGGAATTATTTTGGTTTATGTTTGTTTTTAAACCTTTGTAAAGGAGGCGGAGTGGACCGGGTGCAGTGGCGTTTTTATACACAAAAACTGTTTCATGTAGCGTAGACACAGAGGCACACAATGCTAATAAACACATTACCATTAGAGGAACGAATGTGACGTTCAAATACTGACAGCAGCATCAACCGTGTATTGGTATTCTGGGTTTCAGTAACTGGTCCTGATTTAAGACCCGTCATCGGTACGCAACCATAGTTGTTATGTTGTCACATGCTAATAAACAAAGAAAGTGAGTGTGTTGGTTCAAGGAGTACAAAAAGAATGATAATTCAGATTCTGATTCCCGTCCTTATAGTTGGGATTCACTTTACTTGTTATGTTATTTTATTTCAGTTTGTGCAGCCCTCTCTGCGTGTCGAACAGTCCATCTGGTTCCCATTAAAAACAGAGACTCAAGTATGTTTCAGGTTTCACAACCTATAATTATGAGGATGACAGTGATTATTGAGCACTGGGGGAGTCACAGCGGACGTTACTGTGGTTGAACTTGGAGAGACAGATCCAACACTGGGACAGCTCTTCAGATCAGATCAGCATCTACTCTAAAAGAAAACCACACAGCTTTAAACACACTGCGTGTTGTTTGTTTCATCCATCCCTCTTTTATTCTGCTGTGAAATGAAGCACGTAGAGTCTGCTCGTCACTATCTGACAACACACAGATGTGTCACTGACAACACCTGGACAGTGTGATCACAACTGAAACAGACTCTTCTGTGTCATCCAGTCGTGTAATCACATGTCTTATTGAGAAAGGCTATCCACACTGTGATGTGAGACTTTCTGATTTATTTGCTTTAGAGTTCAACAAGCTAAGATTTCAGTGGTGAGACGGTGGAGATGGCAGCCAAAATGAGAAGAAAATGTTGTTTTAAAGTGATCCTCCGTATCGTGGAGACAAAAGAGCAACAGACAGAGCAGAGATATAAAGACAAGTTAATTAATCAGTTTCAGTCTTTTTCTTCTTTTTTATTTTTAAGCTTTCTCACTCACATCATTAACACTGAGAGGGAATAAATAACTGAAGTCTATAAATAAAATAATTGGTAAATCTCATCAGTTTGTGGTGGATATGAACGTATTTTATAGATGTGAAGAGAACCCAAACATATTTTATAACTCTGTGCTAAAGCTCTTTATATCTGTTCAGGGGCCAATAATGTTGATCTTAATAAATCTTAATTAATTTAGACAGACATATATAAGTTAGTCAACTTTGCAATGTTTTTTCCTTCAGTTTTGTGCCATCAATCAATAATTTCTAAGAGCTCTTATAATATCAGTTGATTTAAATTATATATTTTCACTATTGGAATAAAACTCACACCAATGGTTGAAAGTAACTAAGTACATTTTCTCAAGTACTGTACTGTTAAGTGCAGTTTTGAGGCAAGTAAAAACGTTTAAAAATAAATAACCAGAAGTAAAATCTCCCTGATCTCCCTCAGGCTATGCAGTACATGGAGCTCCTCCCAGAGAGTCAGCGTCCTGTCTCGGGGACTGAAGGAGCGTTGGAGCGACGCAGGCAGCTCTTCAGTCAGCTCCCCATCTATGATCAGGACCCCATGAAGTGTCAGAGCCTGACCAGTGAGGAAGAGGTACCGTACGCCAAACTATTTATTACTCATGATTATAGACAACATGGTAACATCAGCTTGTTGTAACTCACTAATTATGTGTTGTGTGTTGTATGTTAGTTAACCAAAATATCACTTAAAACAACATCTCTTCCTCCGTCCTCCTGCAGATTTCCTCCATGCTGCTGTTTGTGAAGCAATACAAACAGGAGGTGCTGGGAGTCGGAGAGGTGGCCTTACCTGGTGATGGCGGCGCTCTGAGGGAAGCAGCCATTCAGAGGACAGCGAAGGAGGCTAAGGACCGCAGCAACAGCAACAAGAAGGATGCTCTGGAGCACCAGGGCCACGGCTCGACCAATAGCACCGCTGCCTCGGCTGCTGGATCCACTAACGGAACAGATGACAGCATTAAGACTGAATATGTAAGTAAATAAGGCGTCTTTAAAGGTTAAATCATGTTAATACTGGTTGCAGTACATACCCAGTCCGGTACAGGTATTCTGGTCCAGTTAATTCCCCTCACAAGTTCTTGTTAACTTTTACAGAGGAGCAATAGAAAGTACTGGAAACATCACAAACTGTCATTGGGATATAGCGAGTGATTTAAAGCACACAGAACATCATTGGTACCTATCTACTCAGCATCAGTGATATCAGGAGGGTGAGGTGCATTTACCGAGCCCTACGGACCCTTAAAGACAGCACCGACCCCAGCAACAGCTTGTTCACCCTGCTGCCGTCTGCCAAGAGGAACAGATCAGCTGCCTTACCTCCAGCACTCAACCATGTAAAATAGTTTTATATCTATGACCACCAATCTACTGGAGATTTTTGTATATAATGTTTGCTTTTGTGAGTAGCATAAAGGAAACTACAACTTAATCACATTATACAACCCTGTGTTGAAAATTGATCAAACAAATCAACCTCATTTAGTAGGTTTCCCTCTCTTGTCAAACCCTTGCAGACACCCCCGTCGCACTGTTAGAGACTTTTCAAAACCCAAAAGACCTTAAATGCTCAGTTATGTGAATGCTGCCCAGTTTACACCCACTTTCTCTAGACTGTGGTTGAATTTAAAACCATCACATCAAGTCTTTCAGTCAGAAAATATATCAGGTTCTTATCACGCTGAATGAAGGATTCTAGACCCGTAAAATATCACAGTTAATAGGCTTCATCACACTCCTGACTGTACCTAATTCAGATCTATTTCTGGGGCTTTCTGTGGTTGCATGTGTTTATCAAAGTTCAAAGCAGTTCAGACGGCTTGCTACTTAGTTATAAGAGATGCTACCAGCTGATCTGGGGTGTTGGTCTTTCTTAGCTTGTAATTGTGAAACCTTGTGAAAACCAACAGCAAAATGTAAGGGTTACTCTGCACTCATAGAACAGGAGTTATATCCAGGTAACTGTTTGTGTAACAATGAAAGTTTCCTCAAATTTCCTCACTATAATGTTTCCGTTCCCATTTTAAACCAGAAGTTTGTTCCACTAGTTTGATACCTTAAATCACTTTCATTTTCTGTGCTCTCTCTCTGTCCATCTAGCGGTGTACTGGTTGCCACGGCGAGGTCGCCAAGGAGACTCCAGCTGTTCATGCTGAGCGTGCAGGTTACCACAGCGCCCTGTGGCATCCCACCTGCTTTGTGTGTTCAGAGTGCGGCCAGGGATTGGTGGACCTGGTCTACTTCTGGTCCGATCAGAAGCTGCTCTGTGGAAGACACTACTGTCAGACGGTCTGGCCGCGATGCTCAGGCTGTGACGAGGTGAGACGACATCACTTCCTGTAGGACATAATCAATATCAGACAGAGGAACGTAGTGATGTGTAGGCTTATATTAACTGAATTAAATAGTTAATTGTCATAATAATAATAACAAAAACTGCAGTTCCTCAAACAGCCACATAATAAATAAGGTTTTACAGCCTTTTGGTCTCTAAAGATAGATAAAGATTTCCTGTTCTGGCTTTGAGTTGAGTTTGAGTCATAATTAAGACCGTTGCCAGTAACCACGCTTCATTCAGCTCCACGTCTTTGCCCATTTTTGGATTAGCTGAGAGCTTGCAGAGGCAGGCTTTTCAGAAACCATACGGGCGACGTCACAGAGACTACGTCCATAGAGTCATTGCAGCAGGTGGAGAAGAGGGTCTGCCTATCATAGTCCTACAAACATTATCAGTTTATCACTAACTGATCCCCCCCGTCCTTGTTCTCCTTCCTCAGCTGATCTTCTGCAAGTCATTTCACACAGCTAAAGATGGACAGACGTGGCATCAACAGCATTACTGCTGCTGGAAGTGCGGCCAGAACCTGGATACACCCTGTCAGCACTGAGACACTCACACAATGTAGAAATCAACAAAATGTGGTTTTAAGAAGTTTTAGCACTGCTCAACGACAGAGTTACACGGTGCTTCAGAGACGGAGAAGCTGTGCTGAATAAAAATAATGTAAGACAAAAAATATGAATATGTAGTCGGTTAACTTGTTTTATATAAAACAAAAGAACTAAGTACCAGATAAATAATACGAAATAAGTAGAGCTTAAAAGATTTAAATTATATGTTGACGTGTAGTATTTTAAATACTTTATCTTACAAAGAGAAAACGTCCAGTTGATATATTGATGTTTAAAATACTTAAACCATCTAGCTGACACTGAAGTACTCAAACACTTGTTCAGTTGAGCCTCCTGGTGTTTCAAGTACTTAAGTAAATGTTTAGTTGACACAAAGTGTTTAAAGTACTTCAGAAACATTTGTTTGATTTATTAGCACTTAAAGTGCCGACAGTGTCCAGATGTACTGGTTTCAGATAAAACAGCAGCTCAAAGTACGGAGGACCAAACCTGACAATAAACAAATAACATGAGAAATAAATATATTAGTACAAATAAATAAAAATAAATAAATAAAATGAAAAAAGACAATTAAATGTGATATCTCAACTCATCCAAAACAGATTAAAGATAAATTATATTTTAACTAATTTCTAAGATGTCAGGTTTGAATCTGTTTGTGTTTCACTTGTTAACATTTAGGCCAAATCAGGAAATAAATAATCTAATTGTTTGATTTAACCGTCAGATAACTGGACAGGCAGAATGCTGGAAAAGGCATTTAACTAATTACTAATAACTAATATTAACTTAATTAGTCTGCTGGATCTTTTATTGTTTTTCCTACAGTAGATTTTAATCTTTTAACTAAACTTGGGTCGTGTGTTCATTAATGTAATTCTCTTCTTTCTTTTCTGCTTGACGAGTTATTTCAGATCCATTTTGCATTTAACCTCTTTCATGAACGTGGATCCCTGCTGCTGCTAAACGTTGCTTCATGTTCCTGATAAAGTTTTGTATTTACACTTAATAAAGGTATTTTTTTATAGTAAGACCTAAGATAATCTAAGATAAAACCAAGAGGAGAGGACTGTGAGTTACACAGTTTTGGCCAAAATAAAGACATGTTAAGTGGTCTGCACTAGACAGATATCAATTAGCATTTTATTTTAATCTTTCAATTACTTTTTGAATTGATTGCTGTTAACTGCAGCAAAACACTAATTGTTTTAAAACAAGGACAATCTTTTAACTATCAGCATTGTTTGACGTGATTAGCTAAGTATGTCGCTTATTGTTCAACAGGATATTATCTGTGACAGACGAGATAATACAGTAGAATATAACAAATTTAATATTAATGCTGTTAATCTCTCTGTGTGTCCAGTATGACGTGTTTAGCCTAGCTTAGCACAATAACTGGAAGTGGGGGGAAACTGCTAGCCTAGCTCAGTCAATTGTGAAACCCTATGAGATGAGATATTAATCTTCGCCTGGGTAAGATGTTAAACAAGGATTTTTAAAAATCTGCTCTGTGAAGGAAATTTAATTTGTGTTATAGGCTAATGTAAGAAATGTAGAAGAACATAATACAGTTTAAGTTTTAAATGAAGAAGTTTGATTCTGTTCACTTCACTTGTTCAGTGCTTTTTACATTGTGGGATAAATCCGACAACACAACTACAAAATGACACCAATTACTGAATTTTACAGTGAATTAAAGTCACATTTTACTGTTTAAAATCAGCAGTTAAGGTGTTTTTATTAAAGGTTTTAATGTGATGATGTCTTGATAATTCCCATTTATGGTTGCATGAACTGTTCTGACTTTTGTTTCTGCATCCGAAGAGATTTTTCTGCTGTTTTCACAGCTGATTGGTTGGAATTAAAGTTACTTCTGATTGAACTCTCGCTTGTCTGACATGTTTATTGACACAGAGTTTAAATCAGCAGCAGGTTTAAACTTTCAATATTTCTGAATGTAAATATATCTTCACTCATTCATGTTAAATCTTCAACACATCATTTATATATTGTGTGTTTTCACTTCACAGTGAGTCGGTTTTGCTAATATATCTTTTGATTTTTAGTTTATAATCTTTATTTTCAACAGTTCAGCTGCTTATTACATATTTTACAACAATATTTGATTTCCTGCAAGTTAAATGCAATAAAAACATGAAAACCCCTTTTAGTGAACTTCAGAGCTGTTACAACCCCCCATATTTAGCATCAATAAACAATAATAAAGAATATCCTATAATCTATAACAGTGGTTCCCAACCTGAGGGTCAGGACCCCAAACTGGGTCCCCAAAACTTCACAGGGGGTCGTGAGGCCTTCTTGATTTTAAGGGTTGTAAGAAAACTTTAAGAAAATATACTTTTTTCCCATTTAGATAGTTTGTATGATTGTTAAAAAATAGAACATAAACAATAAAGACAGAATATTGTGTAAAAAGTTACTAAAAATATCACAATGATGGAATATTCACAGGAAATAATCGGCTCAAAATTGGGTCTTTTGTGCAGTTTATCAGTTGTTCTGTATTCTGTTATTGTTATGTTTTAAATATAATATGAATTATCCATAAAATATTTCACTTGAGGGGTCGTCAGTTTACTTAATGATAGAAAAAGTGTCACGTAAGGAAAAAGAACCACTGATCTATAATATAGTTGTAAGTACAAATATTAAACATATTAAAGCTATAACGTGTCGCAAAACACAAGATTTCAGGTAATTTTAAACACAATTTCAACTCATCCCTACATTTTCATTATTATAGTTGCAGAAATGTTCACACAGTTTTAACTTAAAGAGACGAATTAACCAACTCTGATGAGATTAAATTAAACCAAGCTTCATTTAAGAGTCTCTTGTAAAATGTAACCCAAATATTAATTTATTATATAAATTTGAGCAAGTTCCAGAAAGATGAATCAGCTGGAACAAAATGTTTCACAGCTTTCAAACAGAGCTCTTGTTTAAAGTTAAAATTAGAAATTAGTTTTATAACGAGGATCACAAACCTTCATTGATTCGTGTGTGTGTGTGTGTGTGTGTGTGTGTGTGTGTGTGTGTGTGCTGACCTACTCCCAACAGGAATGTTAAGTATTGCTGTGGTTTCTCAGCCAGCGTTCCCGGGCAGTTACATCACCCCAGCGGACCGTCTGACAGCTGCTTCCTGAACCATGAAAGAAAAACCAGAAAAGGATATATTTAGTCCCAAACTGAGACGAATGTGTTTGGTTTACAGGGTTTTATGTCCTTTAACAGCACCCAGCGTGATCAGGGGGCGTTCACAGAGACTAATTCTGCACTTCCTCTGATTCTACCCACAGATGATGTTCAGCCCTGATATTGTTAGTTACATTAAAATATATTTAAAAGTTTTATCCTTTGTCCGTCCAGTGTTTAATAAAGTAAAAGTCACATCCTGATGGATGAACTTCACTGAATGATTTAGGAAACTTGAGGTGTTTTGTTTTTCTTATTGAACTTAAGGTGAGTGAATGAGATCTTTTATCTAAAACTACTTAAAGGTTAAGAGTGAAGGATTTAGGCATCGTCGCTTCACCCTTCCTTTTCATAAAAACGTCTCATTCTAAGGTAACAAAAACACAACTATTATTATATTCAGGTGATTTATACACTAATGAAAACATACCTACAAATATTATATGATATTTCTGACAATATATCCTCCTAAATGTTTCACACTGGAGCTTTAAGAACGTACATTAATACAACCATTATCATTTTATATAAACGTCTCAAAGAAAAAGTTAATCATGAAACCAGTTAAAGTGAAAACATGGTTTAAAATCCAAATATTTATGATTAAATAAGCAACAATAATCATTTAAACCTGCAATAACTGATTTTTTGGGGGGCACTTGGTGGCAGTTGAACACAACATTGACATAACAGCTTTTAATTTAATAGGCTGAACATTATTTGATCTGTTTCTTTTAGGTCTGTGTTTGGTTTCTACCACCTCCTGATGAAAATATATGTCTTTAGCTGCTAAATGCTCAACTATGTTCACCAGTTAGTCTCTAACAGTGTCCGTCTGCTGTTTGGTGCCGAGTAGTTAAAGTTTGTTTTTAGAGCTTTTTAACAACCTGTTGTGGTCATAAATGTCACTATGAGAATATAAGAATGATCCAAAATAGACCTACAAATTAGTGGACAAATAAACAATGAGCTGAAACTATAAACACATTGTTCTTATATTGTCATTTGATACATAACATATAATAAAATATTGATTATAGCTGCTTTAAAGTTTGGCGAAAGAAAAACATCTTTACTTATTATTTATTAAGTCTGATAATCTGCTTCATCAACACTCTGAGGATCGATAAAGTCTGAGTGACTCAACAATCAGCCTCACCTGGTTCAAACCAGAGAAAACTGTCAAAACAATAAATACAGAAACCTCTGATGTGAAATAATCTTTATCTTTGGGAGAAAGTCGTGTGTCTGTGATCGTTCACAGTAAAAAGCTCGTTGAGGAAAAGCGTTTTATTGTTTCGTTGTTGTTTGTTTTATTCGTCTGTTTGTAGTGGAGATGTACAGATGTTGCTGCCTGAACATCTGGAGCATCAGCACTGTAAATGTGAAGCTGCGTGGGTACAAAATACAGACTTCAGATGGTGGCACCCTCACGTGGAGGAGATACACATTCACACCAAACTGCTTTCTGTGCTTTATAGTTTCTGTCTCCTGTTACCTCACTGTTGTTTTATATAAAGTATCTTATCCTAGATTTTTACTATATATTTTTATATTTTTATTATATTTGATATTGTATTTTTGGATGTATTCTGCATATTGTGTATTCTTTAGATATTTATAGTCATTTGTTGTGATTATTTTAATCTATATTTGCTTAATCTATAATTAACTTGCTGCTGTAACGAAATAATTTCCCCACTAAAAAGTCAAGTATAAATACAAAGTTAATTTAAAACTTATTCATTTATAGGAAAGCCTGACTTGTAATTCTCTGTGTTGTTGTTGTGTTGTTTTATTTATCTTTGAATCTCATAGTTTAACTGTGTTTTGTTTGGTTACTTATATTTTAACTTTGTTGTTTGTATCTAATTCATTTTTGTCAATCACTTTGAAACCTTGCTTAGATAAGTGCTATACCAATAAAGTCATTATCTATCATATCTGTCTATCTACCTATGATTCACACACACACACTTGTTCATAGTTCGGACAGTCCCTGAACGCAGCACGGCCCTCTCACTGTACTCTCCCTTTAAGTGCAGATAAAAGTCAGTTGTGTAATTTGGGTGAAAGGGGAGAAGGAGGAGCTGACTGAATGGGGGACAGCTTTATTTGACAGATCGAAGAGGACTCGGACAGGTACGATGCTCCTGCTGATCCAGCTGATCAGAAACATTATCGATTATTAACATTATAATGAACATTAATGTGTCTTCACTTCAGCTGATATCCAGTCAGAGGGTTTGAATCCTGACTGCAGTGTCCGGGTTGTGTGATCATGTTTGACATTATGTTCTCCAAACACGTTAAAATGACTCTTTACCCGGATGAAAGTGTGTGTGTGTGTGTGTGTGTGTGTGTGTGTGTGTGTGTGTGTGTGTGTGTGTGTGTGTGTGTGAGGTGTTTTTATCTGCCTGTTGTTGAACCTTAAATATAAACATTTATTTTTAAACTATCAGGAAAGGGGAGTTGAGTCTTCCGCTCACTGTGACACACCTCCTCCTGGTTGCTATTGGCGACTCATTTGATAGGCTTTTACACCTTTTATGTAACCTCACTTTACTGCAGTGTCTCTTTTTTATTATTATTTTATTCCCAAACTGTCGCAACTCAAGGGTTCACTTACTCTCCGGAGCTTACACGGTCTTCATCAGTGAGTTCAGTCTGGATCTTACTGCAGTTTGGTCAAATATTCTCACCTCAACATCCACTTTTTTTGGAGTGTGAGTATAAATATAGTCTAATTATATATATATTTGCATTAATATTGATACTTTATATTAATATAATAGTTATTGTACACAAACTGACCACCCAAATATTTTGTGTGCATATTACAAGCAAGTTGTAATTTTGCTTTGTTTAATTAGTTCATAGGCTTCCTGTAGTATTTCTCAAAATATAATAATATAATATATAATATAAATATTTAAAGCTGCAGTTTTTGTGAAAAAGTGAATTTATTAATGATTAATTGAATAGTGGAGATAAATCAGCACGAGGTGAGATATCCCGTCGTTTACTTCCTAGAATAGGTTTAAAGACACTAGAGCCTACATTTCCCATAATGCAACATGATAGCAGTTTGTATGAGACCCTCCCTGCTGAGCAAACACATTTCAAACCCCCACACCTCCACATTGTACTACTTTAAAGTTCACTTAAACTCACTCGGAGGATAACCCAAAAATGTAGACGGACATTGTTGATAAAGTGCTAAATACTATTTGATCTGATGTGTTGATGTCACGATATGTACGGTGGACAGTGAGGGTCACATTAGTCTCAACCAGTGCACATAAAAAAAACACAGCGACGTACGTAAACCTGGCTCTATGCTGTGATTAAGAAGTATTTACCTTAATTTAATTTTCTTTCCAAACCCAGAATTTCCTGCATTAGGAGCTCGGTTGGTGTTAATATTCGATCGTAAACTTGGTGTAATGCCCTTTTAAAAAGTGTGACAGTAAACAGATTATCTCTTTTTGTCAGCTTTTAATCAAAATTATGATTCTGTTTTTTGCTGGTAGGTAATGGACTGAAGTTAGCCAGTATTATTATTTTATTTAATCTGTCAGAGTGAACGTTGAATCTACCTTTTAGCTCATCTGAACCGCACACTTTAAAGGTCCAGTGTGTAACTTTTAGGAGTATTTATTGGCA